GTGATGACAGTCCAAGCTAGACATGACCACAGAACTCATCAACACTCATGGGAACTGGGTTTGCAACTGGCCACGTGAGCCAAGCAACAGCACCCGCAGGTATATACAGGAATTGGCTGTTGGGGAGGGCTGGGATGCAGCATCCACCAGCCCTCACAAAGACCAAGAGTGACAGGGTTGGACTATACTGGGCAGGGGTCTAACACCAGCTGATGTGTGTAAGAACCTGGTCTGGGAGCAGGACTGGCTTCAGGAACATGGGAAACTTCCCTACAAGGCTGTAGCTCCCTCTGGTGAGCAGTTGGGGCTGGGTGTGGGCCAGACCAGGCAAAGGTGCTCCATTTGTTGGCAGGTATGGGGTCTGGTTCCAGGGGTGGACCAGAGTCAGACCAAGTTGTAGCACACACTGGTATGCCTGGGAGCCAGGACAGGGTACAGTCTATGCCAGGCTAGGTTGCCGCACCCGCATATTTGCATGAGAACCACGGATGGGGACAAGCTAGGCAGGACTAGGCTGTAGCACTCACCACTGAGAGTTGGGACTGGGGGCAGGGCAGGACAAGCCAGGCTGCAGCACCTGATGGCAAGGGTCAAGACAGGGAGTAGACCATGCTAGGCTGAGTCAGAGCAACCTCTGGCATGCACAAGATCTGTGGCTGCTAGTGGGCCTGATAAAGAAGCTTGGGGAACTCCTCTATCAGGATGCAGCCCCCTTGGCAGCCAAGGCTAGGAGCAGCAGAGATCAGGCCAAGTTACAGTTAGACATGTGGGTTAGGTCTGGGGGTGGGCCAGACCAAGCCAGTTCATAACGCCTACTGACAGATTTGAGAACCAGAACAGGGTGCAGGACAAGCTGTGTTGGGTGTTGGGCCACAACACCACCAGTTCACGTTAGGGCTTGGACGAGGAGCTGGCCAGGCTACAGCACCCACCAGCACAACCCGGAACTAGGGGAAGGTGGGGCTGAACCAAGCAATGCCAAGTCAATGCCAAGGTGAGGCAAGCCATGCCAAACTGGGCCACAGCAACCAACACCACTCATAAAACCCTGGGCCAGGAGCAAGCCTGATAGGGAGGCTCCAGGGGCTCACGTTTTGGGCCACTGCTCTCACTGGTGAGCATGAGAGCTGGACTGGGGGGTGGACCAGGTTGGGCAGGGTTACAAAGCTCACTGACCTGCATATGAGCTGAATTTGGGAGACAGCCAGGCAAGGCTATGCCACCATAATCTCTGGCACATGCAACAGCCAAAATAAGTGCAGGATGCTCAGGCCTTGCCACAGTGTCTGATGGCTAGTGTCGGGGCTAGGTGCAAGTTATGTTAGACTAAACCACAGTATCTCCTGGAAAATACTAGTTCCTGGGCTGAGAATGGGTTTAGCAGGGAAACAGTAGACACTTTACTGGGCTGAAGCTCACACCAGTGAGCATGAGAACTGGGCTGAGTGTGGGCCTGACTGAACAAGGTGACAACATCTGATGGTAAACATGTGGGTTGGGTAGTGAGATCAGTCATGCTGAGCTAGGCTGAAGCACCTATGGGTACGTATAAGAGCTTGATGGGATGTGGTACAGACCAGGCCAATCTGCACATGCTGGCATTTGTAGAAACCAGGGCTGGAGGCATGCCTGGTTGGGATTATTGGGGGTTGACCTGACTATGCTGCAGTTCCTGCTGGTGTATATAATGGCTGAATATGTGGTGGGCAGGGTTAGCTGGGGCACAGCACCTATTGGTTTGCATATGAGAAGAGGCTGGGGACAGAACTGACCAGGCAACTACAACCACCATTGTGTGTGTAGGCAGGTGACAGACTGAGCCCAACCCTGCACTGGCTGGCACACACAGGAGTCAAGTCTGGAGTCACCTTGGGAGAGATCTCTGTGGACCTCCCCAACTGAACTGCTGGATTCAGAACCCCAACCACAGGGAAAGTCACAGGATTCGTAGTCTGGCCTTGGAATGCATGCATCAGAACTAGGCCTTAGTTGCTGATGCCTGTGCCGTGGTCAGCATGCCCAGTTGCACATGGACAGACAGCTCATTGAGACCTGCAGAGGATGTTGAGTGCCATGGCAGAAGATGGAGGGCAGAATATATTGGACAACTCCCCTGGCCAAGTATTTGACATCAAGTATCCGGTGAATGGAGACTTTAAGGTGGGCTATGTCAGCCAATGGACCTTGGAAAGATTTCTTCAAATTGGAGCAATGAAATTAACAGCATCTCAGAACTATCAAAACCACTGAAGCAGTACCCTCAGAACATGTTCCATATCAAGAATCCTAGGATGACATCAGTGGCCAACCCCCCAGCCCCAGGTACTGATGTAGTCTGACTGCTGGAAGCAGCCCATTCCTCTTCCCTCTCGCCCCTCTCCAGATACAGAAGGAAAAAAAAAATAGAAGCAATTGTCTCATCCACTTTCCTCCACACCTGGATCCTCCCCACCCTAACCAGTGGTCCACATGGGCATACAGCTTTCTCAACTATGTAAACATCAAAAGAAAATATTTTTTTTTAAAAAAAGAGGAGATATTTACCATAACATAGGAATGGGGCAGGTCTGTTAGTGACAGGAAAGTCCTCAGGTCCCAAAGTAAACACTCCCTGTGGTGGGAATTCAGGTACCCCACCTGCGAGTAAAAAGGATATTTTTCTGGTCCTACCCGTTCACAGCTCCCTGCTTGAGGGGGCCCCTGGAGGAGCCCTCAAGAGGGCTGGGGAGGGGGAGGCTAGAGGGTGGAAAAAATGAAGAGAAAGGAAACTGAAGAGTGGATGAAACGAGAACAGAGCTGACAGATGCGACCACGGGGTGTGATGTGGTATGAGCAGTGTATAGATAACCACAAAGACCCTCCATGAAGCAGGCTCTGAAGAAACAAGCCACCCCAACGCTCAGCCGCTGAGGAAGCAGAGTGGGCAGGTGGCCTGGCCCATGTGGTCCCAAGATGGGCTCCATTACCCCAGGCCAATCTTCCTGGAAGAAATGAGGACGCAGGGGTGCCCCCACACAGGAATCCACATTCCATCCCAAGTGCCCCAGGCCAGAAGCGGAGATGCCCCAAGCTCCCCAGAACCACAGGGAATGGTCCAGCCAAAGAGGAGAAGAAGGAGAGGCCAAGTAGGGTACCAGGTGAGGACAGAGCGCCTGGAGTCTGAAAAGGCAGGTTTGGCATGAAGGTGGCAGCCTAAAGACTTAAAGGTAGCAAATGGGATGCCCTGGTACAGAATGAGACCAAGGAGAGATGGACATTGACCAATTATATCTTCTTTTTAAGACTGATTGAAATATCTGAAAGTCAGAGTTGTGTGTGTGGTGGGGGTGGGGTACAGAAAGAGAGATCACCGGTTTACTCACTACATGGCCGCAAAAGACAAAGCTGAGCCAAGTCATAGCCAGGGGTCAGGGACTTTATACAGATATCCCACATAGGTGCAGAGACCCAAGTATGGGACCACCACCCATTGCTTTCCAGAAGCATCAGCAGGGAGCTGGATCAGAAGTGGAGCAAGGGCCAGCACCATGGCTCAATATGCCAACTCTCCACTTTCAAGATTCGGCATCCTATATGGGTACTGATTCATGTCCTGCCCATGCAGGTTCTGGAAGGCAGCAGGGATGGCTCAATAAGTGAGGCTTCTGCTTCTCCCTGGAAGATGTGAAATGAACACCCCAGTTAAGTCCCAACCCATGCAGCTACTGGGGGAATGAACCGGTGGATGAAAACTCTCCCTGTCTGGTTCTTTTTCTCTGCCTTTCAAATAAACAACAAAAAATATTTTTAAAGATTTATTTATTTTTATTGGAGAGGCCAAATTACAAAGAGGAGAGACAAGAGAGAAAGGTCCTCCATCTGCTGATTCATTCCCTAAATGTCACTATGGCCAGAGCTGAGCTGATCTGAAGCCAGGAGCTTCCTCCAGGTTTCTCCATTAGCAGGGAGCCAGATGGGAAGTAGAGCAGCCAGGATATGAACCAGCTCTCACATGGGATGCCAGCGCTTGAGGTAGAGGATTAGCCAGTTGAGCCAACACACAGCACCCACTAAAAATATATATTTTTAAAGATTTATTTATTTTTATTACAAAGTGAGATATACAGAGAGGAGGAGACAGAGAGGAAGATCCTCCATCCGATGATTCACTCCCCAGGTGACTGCAACAACTGGTCCTGTGCCAATCTGAAGCCAGGAGCCAGGAACCTCCTCCTGGTTTCCCACGCAGGTGCAGGGTCCCAAGGCCTTGGGCCATCCTCGACTGCTTTTCCAGGCCACAAGCAGGCAACTGGATGGGAAGTAGAGCTTCTAGGATCAGAACTGGTGCCCATATGGGATTCCAGCACATCAAGGCCAGGATTTTAGCCACTAGGCCACCGCGCCAGGCCACCAAAAATATGTTTCAAATGCTTTAGGGGCAATGCCATGATATAATAGACTGAGCTTCCCATATGAACACTGGTTCAAATTCCACCATTCTGCTTCCCATCTAGCTCCTTGCATATGGCTTGGGAAAGCAGTGGAGGACAACCCAAAGTCTTGGGACCCTGCACCTGCATGTGAGACAAGGAGGAAGCTCCTGGCTCCTGGCTTCAGATCTTCCCAGTTCTGGCCGTTGTGGTTATTTGGGGAGTAAACTAGTGCATGGAAGATCTTTCTCCCTGTCTCACCTTCTCTCTGCAAATCTGCCTTCCAAATAAATCTTTTTTAAAATACTTTCGTTAATAGTTTGGAGAGCTGGGTCCCCTTCTTTCTTCAGAGTGGTTCTGTCTATGCAATGTTTGGGGAGAGGAAGGCCTTGCAGATGAGTTGGTGAAAGGGTGGGTGACAGTTCAGGACGTGAGTGAGCGAGGCGGGAGACGGAGCACATCCGACATCCTCTTGATGTGGATGGGTCCAAGGCTTCCCCGCTAGCCCAGAAGCGAGCAGAGGCCAGGCTGCTGCGGGAAAGCAGCACTCCGCAGCACGTGCAAAAGGGGAAGGGGTGGAGGTTGTTATTGAGAGGAAAGAAAAAAAAACCAGCCACAGCAGAGCTTCAGCTGCCGGCAAAGGTTGGCTTGCCACCTGGGGGAACTGGGGCAGGAACTGCAGCCGCTGCCCAGGAGGTGCCAAGAGGCCCTCGGTGCCCAGCCAGGGAGGTGCCTGCTACAGAGAGACCCACAGTCAGCTACCAGCACGCAGGACAAGCCCTCCTGGGTCAGGAGCCATGGCGTGGCCCGCTCCCTGCTGGCTGTGCGTGCTGGGGGCACTGGCAAGCCTTTCAGCAACAACAGCCCTGGACGGCTGTCCAGAGGGACAATACCGGGCCCAAGGACAACAGTGCTGCCGGATGTGTGAGCCAGGTGAGAGTGGGCCACTACGGGGGCCGGAGAGTGGGGAGAAAGCGCAGGTGTAAGGGAGAGAGAGAAGCATGGACCCCAGCCGGCTGCAAGCAAAGAGAGGAATCCCTCCCTCGGCAGCGCAGGGGTCGGGGCGGAGGTGGGGGAGCAGGTGCCCCTTGGAGAGGGACCTGGAGCAGCCTCCCCTGGCTTTGACTTTGGACCCTGGGCTCCCAGGCACGTTCTTGGTGAAGGACTGTGAGGAACACACACAGGCCACGCAATGTAAGCCATGCATCCCCGGGGTCTCCTTCTCTCCGGACCACCACAGCCGGCCCCACTGTGAGAGCTGCCGCCACTGCAACTCTGGTGAGATGATGGACAAGGGTGCATGTGTGCCTATGTGATGTGTGTCTGTGTGTGCAGTGTGTGCTTGTGGTGTAAGTACATATGTCTATGTGTGCATGTATGGTATGTCTGTATGTGGAGTGTGTGTTTTGTGTAACGTGCATATCCACACATGTGGCGTGTACATGTGTGTGTGGTGTTGCATACACGTGGTGCACATGTACATGTGTGTGGTGTGAGTGCATGAACTGTGGGGTTTTATGTTCATGTATGTATGGTGTGTGCACTGTGTATATGCATGTGCGTGGTAAGTATGTACCTGTGTGTGATGTGTGTGTCTGTGTGTGTGCTGACGGCCGAGACGGAGCGTTTGTGAGCATGGAGATGGTGCAGTAAGTGAGGATGGGGAGCTGGAGCCTCAGCCCACTTCAAGGTTCTCAGGAAGCGAACAAGGTAAAGAAATGGGGCACCCAGGATATACGGGCGCCGGTTCATGCCTGGCGGCCCCACTTCCCTTCCAGCTCCCTGCTTGTAGTCTGGGAAGGCAGTAGAGGATGGCCCAAGTCCTTGGATCCCTGCACCTATGTAGGAGACCCAGAAAGAAGCTTCTGGCACCTGGCTTCAGATCAGCTCAGCTCTGGCCATTGTGGCTATTTGGGGAGTAAATCAATAAATGGGAAAACTCTCTCTCCTTCCCTCTTTAAATCTGCCTTCCTAGAGGGGAAAAAAAGCCCACTCTCCTAGTGTAACTGACCAGCAGCCACTAGCCCTGCCCCCTCCTGTCCCCACTTAGCAAAGCTTGTATTTTTAAAGCATAGGGTATCTATAATCCAGCAACATTCCAACAAAGCTATTTAGTTTTCTAAAGATTTATTTATCTGATAGACTTAGAGGGCTAAAGAGAGAGACAGAGGGAGATCTTCCATCTGAGGGTTCATTCTCCAGAGAGCCACAGCAACCCCAGCTGGGCCAGGCCAAAGCCAGGAGCCTCATCTAGAATTCCTACATGTGTGGGAGGGGTTCACACACTTGGATCACCTTCTGCTGTTTGCCCAGGAGTCAGGACCCAAACCAGTGCCCATATGACAGGGAGTTCCAGGCTGTGGCTTTACCCGCTGCACCATAATGCCAGCCCCTCTAGTAAAGTGACGGACATCAGAGGTCTTCGTGGCACTATTCCTACTTGCTAGCAATTGAAAACTACCCAAATCAGTAGTCGGATGGATCAATCTATTGCAGATGGATCAATCTGCAATTAGCCTCAACAGAATGAACAGCATTCCCAAAAGACTGGGTAGAAGAATCCAGGCAGGAGGGCAAACATGCTGTGTGACTCCTTCTCTAACATACAAAGGCTGGCAAAGTCCGGAGTGTAGCTGCTCTCTGGGGCTGGTGCTAGGAAGGCGCACTGCTGGTCATTTTCTCTCTCTTGCCTTGACACTGGTTACACCTGTGTAACCAGCAATTCTGTTTTAAAAGATTTGTTTATTTATTTAAAAGGCAGTTGTATATAGACAGAGAAGAGACTGAGGGAGATTTTCTATCAGTGGGCTTATTCCTCAAATGGCTACATCAGTTAGGACTGAGCCAGGCCTAAGCCAGGAGCCAGGCCCCTCCTCCTGGTCTCCCACAGGGTGCAAGGGCCCAAATACCCTGGATCATCCTCCGCTGCTTTCTCCAGACCACCAGTAGGAAACTGGATCAGAAGTAGAGCGCCCAGGATACAATCGGCATTCATAAAGGATGTCAGAGTCACAGCCAGTAGCTTTATGTGCTACACCACAACACCGATCCCACAATTTGTATCAGTTCTTCAGCTTTAGACCTTGACCTGTGTACCTTTTATATACATATTATACTTCAATCAAGTTCTTAAACAATCAGTGAGGAACAGAAAATTATGTAAGCAGTTGCCACACTTTCTGAACCCAAGAATTTCAGTGAAGTCCACCTGTCTTCAGTGACAGTGACGGCAAAGGCATGGGGTGACAGTGAGGGAGAGGCAGGCCTTAGACAGGGGTGGGTGCTGGTCCCCAGAGGTGGGGTGAGGGGCTAACAGGTAAACCTCACTGGTCTCGGGAGGCCCGAGTGTCCTGCATCCTCCCTCCGCTTCTCCAGGTCTTCTCATCCATAACTGCACCATCACCACCAATGCCAAGTGCACCTGCCCCAGTGGCTGGCAGTGCAGGGACAAAGAGTGCACTGAGTGTGATCCTCCCACACACGGCTCACTGACCACCCAGCCTTCTCGGGACCCAGGCCCACAACAGACCACTCACTTACCTTACGCCGAAAGTAGGTACCAGGCAGCCCTCCCTCGAGTTACTGGGATAGGGATGAGACCCCTCTTCCCCTCCCCCACATCATGCCCACTCCCCCGGGGTTTGGGTGTGTGGGGCATCACACCTCATCTAGGTCCATAAGCCTTGAGGTCAACATGCCCTTTGGAGTGCCCTGTGCTACTGCTCACTGTGCCTGTTTCCCTAGGGACGCCAGAGGCCAGGGTAGACAGGCCTGGGCAGACTCCAGCTGACCTCCGGCAGCTGCCTGCTCCAGATGTTCCAAGCCACCAGCCAGGTGAGTGTTCTCCTGGAACCACACCAGACCAAAGGGAAAGGAGAGAGAGCCAACCAAAAAGCTCCCTGGAGCAGGAAGAGGTGGGGGAGGGAGAGGACCAGGGAGGCAGGGCAAACCGCAGGGCTGGGCTCTCCCCTTAAGCACCTGTACCTGCCTTCCCATCACAGCACACAGGTCCCCTTGCAGTTCAGACTGCGTTCACATTGCTGTCATCTTCTCCGGAATGTTTCTTGTTTTCACCGTGGGTGCAACCCTGCTTCTCCATCAACAGAGAAAATACGGTTCAAGTAAGAGACCAAGCCAGACGCCCAGCCCATTCTCTTGGGCGGCCCTAGAGGCTCCCAGGCTCCATCTTACCCAGCCCTGCTTCCTAATCCTCTCTCTTCATTTGCAGCTGGCGACCCCCTCCCCGACACACAGCACACAGCAGTTCCCCAAGCTTGCCCTCTCTCCTTTGTCTCTCTCCTTCACTCCCTACCCTCTGTGCTAGCCAAGACTGCCCTGATTCTCTTCCTGCAGACAAAGGAGAGGGCGCAGTGGTACCTGCCGAGCCTGGAACCTACAGCTGCCCCAGGGAGGAGGAGGGCAGTGCCATCCCTATCCAAGAGGATTACCGGAAACCAGAGCCTGCTTATTACCCCTGAGCCTGCACTGGGGTGCAGGTGGGTGGCAAGAGGGGACATGAGGGGGGCAGTAGGCTGCTCATCACTGCAAGGAAACCCTCACCCCCACCCCACCACCACAGGCCAGCCAGAGAATGAGATGGAGCAGCCTCAGTTTTGGGACCACCCTCTCGCCAGGACCCTTTCTGGTGTAACAGACTGGACCAAGTATGCCTTTTTGAGACTGGCAGTGATAAAGACAGGAGCCCTGGGTGAGCCCTGGCCCAGCCAGCTTTGCTCCTGCTGCAAGGCCCTGGCTGCAACATGCACTTGTAGCCTGGAAAGCCTCATGTACTGTTCTTGCTAACCTGCAAAATAAAGTGAGGGACCGCCAGCACTCCAGCTTTCTCTCTGGAAGTCCCAACCTCAGCTGGCAGCCTCTCCGTCTCTACAGGAAGACCAACGGTCTAAGGGAGGAGACTTCTCCCTCTAACTAATCTGCACTGCGACCGACCAAGGGGAAGAGGAGGGGAAAGAGGTAGGGCGGGCAGGTGCACTGCCACTGCCTGAAACTGAAGACCGGTTCCCCCGGGGCTTCCCAGGATCCCGCTTTGGGTTCCATGTGTCCCTCCACCCCACTTTGCCCCGTTTCCAAGGTTCAATCACCACGGACGTTGGGTTGTGGGGAACTCAAGGTAGCTGCTACATAGTCAAGCCTTGAGATGGTCTGCGGACTTGGGGAGCAAAGGTGGCGAGAAAGAGCAGACAGCAGCTGCAAATGGCTTCGTCCCGAGACACAGACGAGCTCAGAGCCACTTCCCTCTAAGCGAAAGTGAAAGAGAAGACAGCCGGGAGGCGCACGCAGCAGGCTGGCCACCCAAGGGGTGTTTGTTGTACCTCCGCTGATCCTGGGCCCTGCCAGCGGGTGGGCTCGAGGGGCGCGGAGGGAGCATCGCCCATGCGCGCCGAGGCGGCAGCAGCAGCAGCGGGCTGCCTGCTCCTCTGCTTGGCTCTGTGCGGCGGCGCGGCAGAAACGGGTGAGTCGGCGAGAAGGCTCAGCTAACCTTCCTCCCAGATCCCAGGAAGGCGATAGGGCCAGCCATGGCTTCCAATCACCTTCGAGGTCTGACTTGGGGGAGACTCGGCTGCCGGCAAAAAGAGGAGCCAGGTGTGGGGGAGAATGGGCTGCCAGCTCCATTTAGAGATTTAAAGGGCACCCTTCTCTAGGGGGTGGAGTGCTGGGGAAGCCGCTGGCCTGAAAGCAGACACCTTGTAGGAGCAGCCGTGTCTTGGGCGGGCGCCCAGAGGTGGGGGAGGGGAGGTTGGCTACCTGTGGGCTGACCAGGACATCTGAGACGATGGCTGTGAGAGCCTTGGGCCTCTCTGGAGGGTGAGGCGGGCAGCATTTGCTCAGGGACTTGTTTGAGGATCCCCGACTGAAGACAGAGTCTTTGATTCAGTTGTTGGAGATCAGAGCAAAAGATGAAGGCAAATTAAAAATGAAGTTCTACCATCTGTAACAGAATGGTCCCAAAGAGACCATTATGCTCAGTAAAATTAGTCAATCCCCAAAGGACAGGTAGCATATGTTCTCTCTGATGTCAGGCAACTTTCATGCAAATGTATGACCAACGGACATAGATGTAGATATGTACATACATATATGTGTTTACATAGATTCATCTGGAGGAACTGCATAGGGGGACTAGCATACCAAGAAGTGAAAATACTTTGCAGTATACGTCTCTACTTCCAAATAAAAGATGGACTCCCAATGAAACTTTTGACAATAGGATGCTGGACTTTCTACCATTGTCTATACCTACAATGTCATGAAACACTTCACCAGCAGAATGATGGACTTGTGACTACTGCTGAAGGATTATACTATTATAATAATATAGGAAAAATAGTCAGGGGAGGGTGGGAAGGGATATCCCTGAGCCTGTGGAACTGTATCAGAAAAATAAATATATAAAAAAAAGATTGCCTGGCATGGTAGCCTAGTGGCTAAAAAAAAAGTCTTGCAAGCCCTGGGATCCCTTATTGGTGCCGGTTTGTATCCCAGTGGTCCCGCTTCCCATCCAGTTCCCTGTTTGTGGCCTGGGAAGGCTGTTGAGGACGGCCTAAAGCCTTGGAATCCTGCACCCAAGTGGGAGACCCACAGAAAACTCCTGGCTCCTGAATTTAGATCAGCTCAGCTCTGGCTGTGGAAGCCACTTGGGGAGTGAATCAACGGGTGGAAGATATTCCTCTCTGTCTCTCCTCCTCTCTGTTTATCTACGTTTCCAATAAAATAAAATAAAATAAATCTTCAAATGATTCTGTAAGTTAGGGGAGATATAAAGGAAATGTAGCAGAGACTGATATGTTCAGACATGAAGACAAAGTGCTGTGTGTCTCTGTGCATACAGACCAGAGATGGACTCCCACTGAGAGAAGTGGAACTATCCTAACATAAGATGATGGACTCTCTGACAGTGTCCATCCCTACATTGCTGGGAAACACTTCAACAGCAACACAGTGGACATCCATTGTAAAACTAAAGAGGAAATCAGTGTGGGGAGGGGGAAGGACCCTGGGGAAGGGCATGGGCAACCCCAGAACCTATGGACCTATACCATAAAACAAAATAAAACATATTTTAAAAAATAAAAATATAAAAACAAGTTCGAGAGGGCTGGTGCTGTGGAAAAGTAGGTAAAGCCACTGCCTGAACTTCTGGAATCTCATATTGGCACCAGTTTGTGTTCCTGTTCTTCCATTTCTGATCCAAATCCCTACTGATGGTCTAGGAAAGCACCAGCAGGTGGCCCAAGCACTTACAGCCCTGTCACCTACAGGGGTGACCCAAAGGAAGCTCCTGGCTTCAACCTGGCCGAGCTCTGGCTATTGTGGCCATCAGGGGGAGTGAAGCAGCAAATGGAAGATCTCTTAACTCCACATCAGAGTACCTGGATTCAGTTCATGGCACCTGATTTCCTGCTAGTACAGACCTTGGGAGACGGTGCTGCCTCGGGCAGGTAGGCTCCTGCCACCCATGTGGGAGATCCAGGTTGAGTTCCTGGTTTCTGCCTTTGGCCTGGCCTTGGCCATTTGGGGACAACAGAGGAGCTCTTCATTTTTTTTTTCTCTGTTTCTCTGCCTCTCAAATACATTAATTTTTGTAAAAATATAAATGTAGTTTAAAAACAAGTTAAGTGTAAATTCTGGGGAGTATTCTCCCAAATAACCTATTCTCACACACTAACATCAAGTTTTAACACAAAGAACCTGCTGAATGTTTCCTATTCCTATAATGTACAATATATCAGTGTCTTCAAAAATGCCTAAACTGCAGGATTATTATGTTGGAAGTGCTGAACACCGTTCCTGGCACATAGTGAAAACTGAAAGCTTCAGGGGCCGGCACTGTGGGACAGCACGCTAATACTCTGCCTGAAGCCCTAACATGGATGCTGGTTCGTGTCCCAGTTGTTCCACTTCTGATCCAGCTCCCTGCTGGTGGCCTGGGAAGGCATTGAGAGATGGCCCAAAGCCTTGGGGCTCTGCGTCCATGTGGGAGACCTGGGAGAAACTCCTGGCTCCTGACTTTAGATCAGCTCAACTCTGGCTGTTTCGACCATTTGAGGAGTGAACCAGTGGTTGGAAGATCTCCGTCTCTATAAATTTGCCTTTCACATAAAAATAACTGATAAAAAAAAAAAACTGATAGTTTCTTCTCATGTAAGAATAAAGGAACTTGTGTAAAACTGAAGCTAAGGATGATGATGATGACATTGGTAAGAATAACGACTAGCCACATCTGTTGAACCCATTTCTGTTAGCCAGCCATTGTATTACACACTGGCTTTTTTTTTTTTAAGCTTTATCTTATTTTCATTACAAAGTCAGATATACAGAGAGAAGGAGAGTCAGAGAGGAAGATCTTCCGTCCGATGATTCACTCCCCAAGTGAGTACAACAGCTGGTACTGAGCCAATCTGAAGCCAGGAACCAGGAACTTCTTCCAGATTTCCCGCACGGGTGTAGGGTCCCAAAGCATTGGGCTGTCCTCGACTGCTTTCCCAGGCCACAAGCAGGGAGCTGGATGGGAAGCGGGGCATCCGGGATTAGAACCGGTGCTCATATGGGATCCCGGCGCGTTCAAGGCAAGGACTTTAGCCACTAGGCCACCGCGCCGGGCCCACACACTGGCTTTTTAAAATCTTGTAATAGCTCTTCGAAATGCCCTCTTACAGGTGAGGGCTCTAAGGCACAGAGAGATTAAGTATTGGTAGTTGGCATGTGTAAGTGGCAGAGCTGGGATTTGAGCTAAATAGCCTGGGTCCATAATCTGCCCCCGAAAGGGGAAACTAAAGTAGAGGTTTCTGAATGCCAAGTTCAGCAATTATAAAAGTCTTCTAATATCAGGACCATGGTGCTTTTGTTATCAGAATTTTACAAGTGATTTTGCCATAACCTTATTACATGCAATAAAAGTGCTATTCAATAGAGCTTATGCAGTATTCATTTAAGTGGTAAAGGTTAATTTGGTTAATTTCTCCTTAAATGGAAATAATTTGTTTTTTAAAAAGATTTATTTATTTTTATTTGAAAGGCAGACGGTCAAAGATAAAGAGAGACAAAGACAGGAAGGTCTTCCATCTGCTGGTTCACTCCCTAAATGGCTACAATGACCAGAGCTCAGACGATCCAGCCAGGTCTCCCATGTGGGTGCAGGGTCCCAAGGACCATCCTCTACTGCCACCTTCCCAGGCCACAAGCAGGGAGCTGGAAGGGAGCTGGAGTAGCCGGACACAAATCAGTGCGCATACGGGATCCCAGAGCTTGCAGGAGGATGTTTAGCCAAATGAGCGATCACACCAGTGCCCAAAAGAGAAAAAATTTCTTCCGTTGGTTACAATAGGAGAGATTTTTTTTTTAAATCATAAGATCCTAGAATATACTAATCCTTTTAGGTTTAGCACTTCAGAATACTGAATAAACTTTTCTCCTTTGTAGAATTAACTAGCTAAAATGTTGCTTCTTGCACCCACCAGTGCAGTGTTGCCCACAGTATTGCTTTTCAGTAAATCATATTTCCTTAAAAAAAAAAATTAAGGCACATCCTAGGAACGGACCTAATCCATGCTTGTAGGAGCAAGTGCATTCTGCCAAGCCATTTGTGGGGTGACAGGAACACAGAGGGGTTCTCGGGAAACAACTCCACTTTCTTGGAGACCCCAGGACTCAGGGGATGGAGGCAGATGATGGAGGCAGGTCCAGAGCATCTTCCACCCCATTCTGTTCCCTGCAGGGTCCCAGGCAGCAGAAAGCCAGTGGCGGGCAGTAGATGTGATCTTGGATTGCTTCCTGGCCATGGATGGTGGGCATCGCGGGGCATTTGCCAGCCCTGCCAACAGGGAGAGGGCCTTGCTTGTGCTGAAGCAGGTGCCAGTGCTGGAGGACAGCTCCCTGGAAGGCTTCACTGACTTCCAAGGGGACATGGTGGCCCAAGATGACCCCCGTGTTGTCTTCGAGGCGTCAGGTAAAAGCGTGTCCTTTTGGGCTCCCACCCTTCCTCCAACCCCAGGACAGCCCAGTTCTGCTTTCTCCCACCCATACCTGCTTCCCACGGGCCCTGGCACTGTCAGTCCAACTTGACCTCTGCGGGCCACCCTTCCCCGTACAGTGGACCAGGTGCAGATTCCCCAGGCCGAGGCCTTGCTCCACGCCGACTGCAGCGACACGGAGGTGACCTGTGAGATCTCCCGCTACGTCCTCCAGGCCAAACAAGAGGCACCTGCTGAGGAAGCAACTTGGTTCATCAGCAACGTGCAGGTGTCTGGAGGGGGCCCCAGTGTCTCTATGGTGATGAAGACCCTCGGAGATGCTAAGAGTGGAGCCACCTGGCACCCCACTCTGAAACTACCCCTTAGCCCCCAGGGGACTGTACGAACCACAGGTGAGAGTGTGAAAGGCAGTGTTCCTGTTTTTAAAATGGGGAGATAGAGGAGGAACGGAGGAGGTCCTCTTGTACCCGTATCGTCCACCTCAGGGTGACTCTCAGGCCTACGTCCTTCCTTCCTTCCTGGAAACCCCTAAGTCCAGAGGAGGAAGATGCTGGGAAGCTGGCAACACCGAGCAGCACAGGCACAAAAGCAGTTCTTGTCTTCTCTCCCAGCGCAAGTCCTTGAGACATGGGAAACTGGGACATGATGGCAAGCTTCCCCAGGGTCTGTCCACTCCAAAAAGGGACAGCCAGGTCCTGAGATAATGAGGGGTCTGCCTGCATCCCCACGGAAAGCCCCCAGAACCCTCTAACCTTCCTGGGACCCAAGCTCTGCTCATCCCACCACATCAGAGAAGAAGGGGCCTCACGTGTGTCCAGTGGCTCTCGTGGGCCCAGTTGGGTTAGGGATTTCCCCTTTTCTGACATGGGGATTTTTCAACCCTACCAAACAGGTGGTGGCAGGGCGCGCGGATTAGCCTGGTGGCTAAGACGCCCACTTCCCATTGTGGGAGCACCTGAGTTCACTTCTTAGCTCTTGGCTCACCCACTCCTGCCTCTCATTGCCACTACCACCCACCCCAGGAAGCAGAGGTGATGCCCCAAGGAACTGGATTCCCGCCCACTTCCTCCCTACGTGGGACAGCTGGATGTTGTTCCCAGTTTCCAGCGCCAGGATGCAGCTCCAGCTGTAGCCTGGTCCGGGACATTGTGGGCACCTGGAGAGCGAACCAGTGGCTGCAAGCTCCCCACCCAAAACCCAACCAATGAGAAAACTCTGAAGGCCCATTTATTTGAACTCAACTGTTACGACCACGCCACATGGTGTCCGCCCCTCCCTGAACTGAGAACTTGCAGACAGCACAGCTGACACACTCCTGAGGCTAGCACCTGTTAGGGCAGGGGCAAGGACAGGACACAGTCCTCCCATGTAACACATTGTGATCCCTACAGAGGCAAACCAAGGTGGAGAGAGAGCTACTGACGGTGCACACAGAATGAGGTGCAGTGCATAAAGACTCGGAGGGCAATAATCAAGTCAACAGAAAAACCCTGGTCCCTCGCCCAGGCAGCTGTGAACAGCATTGGTGATGACATGCCCCACCAAGGAACACACTCCCACTGCACGCCTTGCTGCACTACGGGTCGCCACTAAAACGCACACAACGCGCCTCCTCAGTGTCCAGGCCACATTCAGCGCCCCCAGCTGTCCCAGGAACAGTCTTCAGTTTCCTTTTTCCTTCTCTAACCCCCAGGATTCCAAGAAGCATTGTGCAAACTGTGTCCGACTGTCTAGTCCCCTGATTTTGATCTAAAATAACCTTTTCATTGACATTTTTTAAGAGTCCTGGTCAGCTGTCTTGCACGGTCACCCACCACCAGGATTGGGCTGATTGCCTTCTGCACAATTTACTGGGTTAAGTGTGCAGGGCTCAAATCCTGCTGCTGTGTGCTTGGTCTTCACAGCAGGCTCAGGTGAGCAGCTGAGCATGGTAGCACCTGGTGCCCGAGTGGTTTCCTAGTGAGGGATCCATAGCTCTCGTCACACTGCCTAAAGCATAAGTAACTCTAATATGGTTAAAGATCACCAAGTATGCCATGCCGCCTTTCCAAAAGGTTGCTTCATTTCCTTGATATTTATTTGAAAGGCAGAGTGGCAGAGAGAATCTTCCATGCACTGGTTCATTCCCCAAATGGCTGCAATAGTCCAGGGTGGCCCAGACTAATAAAGTCAAAAAGCTGGCATTCCATCTGGGTCTCCCACGTGGGTGGCAGGGCCCCAAGCGCTTGGACCACCTTGCACTGCTCTCCTAGGTGCATTAGCAGGGAAGCAAAGCAGGTAAGGATTCAACCTGATGCTCATACAGGATGCTGGTATCACAGTTAGCAGCTTAACTCACTGTTCCACAACACTGGTCCCAGAATCCTATTTCTTTGTGGTTTCATCTGCTGAAAATTAGTTTAATGGGAACTTATTGACCAGGGAAGAAGGGGGCAGGAGTCTGCCCACAGGTTGAGACCACATAACCAAGACTTCAACAAGGAAGCAACCCGCCCACCACCTCTTTTTCTCTCTGCAGTGGAATTCCAGGTGGCAACACAGACCCAATCCCTGACCGCCTCTCTGGGGTCCTCAGTCTCCTTGCACTGTGGCTTTTCCATGGCACCAGGCTTAGATCTCATCAGCGTGGAGTGGCGGCAACAGCATCAGGGCAGAGGCCAACAGGTGTACAGCTGGACGTCAGGAAAGGACCAAGCCAAGCGGCAAGGAGCTACCCTGGATCCAGACCAGCTGCACATGGCCAGGAATGCCTCCCTCACTCTACCAGGGCTCACTGTCAAGGACGAGGGGACCCACATTTGCCAGATCACCACCTCACGGTACCAGGCGCAACAAATCATCCAGCTCAACATCCAAGGTGAGGCCAGGACTCGGCCATCCTGGAGTGAGGGGGAAGGGAGACGCCCACTGGGAGAATTCTTCCAGATGGGGATCTGAACAGACTGCATTTCCAAATGCCATCATCTTAGAAGAGCAGGTTCCATCAGATAGGGGCCTGCTGCGCTCCAAGATGTCCCCATCACATGTCCAGGCTGTGATCTTTTTTATTATTATTATTATTGGAAGTCAGATATACAGAGAGGAGAGACAGAGAGAAATATCTTCCGTTTGTTGATTCACCCCACAAGTGACCCCAACAGCTAGAGCTGTGCCGATCCGAAGCCAGGAGCCTCTTCCGGGTCTCCCATGTGGGTGCAGAGTCCCAAGGCTTTGGACCATTCTTGACTGCCTTCCCAGGCCACAAACAGGGAGCTGGATGAGAAACAGGGCTTCAAGGACTAGAACCGGGGCCTATAGGGGATCCCAGCATGTGCAAGGCGAGGACCTTAGCCACTAGGCTAAAGCGCCAGGTCCCAGCCCATGATCTTACTCTCGTGCCCTAACTGGCCATTTCCAGCCACCCCTGCCATTTGGGTTACATTCAAAGCAAGAACAGTAGCCAACCTGGGAGGAGTGGTGAGAGTGGTTCCAACCGGGAGTCACTGGTAAGTCTTCATGTTGGGACAAGCAGCTAACGCTTATCTTTACTGTTTCCTGCTCTTGAAAATGCACCCCACTGACCCCCTGCATCCAGGGGGAACCCCCCTCACGCTCACCCCTTGGGAGGAGACTTCAGCCTGCACAACCGGCTGCCATTCCCAGTGGATAAACAAAACTTGTCTTCCTGCCTCCCCTGAGCTGGATCCCCATGGAGTCTGATTCCCCGTTCTTCCTTCAGCTTCCCCCAAGGTACAACTGAGCTTGATCAGCAGAGCCCTGCCACCCACCCTGGTGTGTCACATCGCTGGCTATTACCCTCTGAATGTGGCCGTGACATGGACCCGAGAGGAGCCGGGTGGAGCCCCTGGACAAGTCTCCGGGGCCTCGTTCTCCAACCTCAGGCAGAGCCTGGCAGGCACCTTTGCCATCTCCTCCTCCCTCAAGGCAGAACCCGGCCCTGCAGGCGCCACGTACACCTGCCAGGTCATCCACAGCTCTCTGGAGGAGCCACTCGCGGCTAGCACCTGGGTTCCCCCATCAGGTACTGGGACCATCCTTTCCCGGCTCTTGCACTTGGGCTCGTGGCTCTCCTGCCTCTCGCTTATCTTGGCCTTGTTCTGCTGTCGCCGGTGCATGTTGGTCAGTCCCAGTTCCTTCATGCTGCAGCCTCTGCTCCTGACTTGCTCTTTCCCAGGACTGTGGCCTTGATAGCTCCCCCCCGACTCCCGCCAGCCCTTGAGGCTTCACCACACCCTGACCTCCAGGGTCCCAGGCAACACCTGCAGGGCTGGAGGTCAAGTTGAAGGAATTCCCGGGGCTGAGGGTCCAGCCAGAGAGACAGAACATGAAGCAAGGCAGGGACAATGACTGGGAGGAGGCATCTGAGTTGATCTTTTGGCATAATTCCAGAACAACAAAGAGCCCATCTGCACCACTGGCAAGGGCACATGAGGGAAGGAGAAAGTGGCTTTGGAATGTCAGAGGTGATGACATTTATGGAGCATGTTCACGTTCAGACACTGCACAGGCAACTTTAGGTGCTGCAAAGTCCCTTCTACAGCGAACTAGCCTTCGCAGAAGTTACATAATCCGCCCACAGCTACCTCCCAAGAAGAGGTGAAGAAGGAAATGCAACCAACAGGCCACCAGCTGCTTACAGGCTTGCTGACTGTCCCAGCTGGAAGTCCCAAAACACTGCTGAGTGATTTTAAACAGAGAAGAATCTGCACCCGCAAGCGCAGGCTGGGGATGGTCAGCAGGCCCTACTGGGCTGCTCCTTAGCTTGCGAGCCTCTCTAACACAGGGATCTTGTCTCCCTGCTCACACCGCTACCCTGGTTTACAAAACTCTCCACAACCAAACTAAAATCTGTGCCGCAAAGTATCTGCAGAAGTGTGTCCCGAGGTGGGCAGGGGCAGAGGCTGCTGTGTGAAGTCACACACATATGCTCGGCAACCCCACACAAGGACCCCACATGCAGCTCGGGGAAGGCTCTTGGGTGAGGTGATGGCTTACTGTTCACATCGCTCTCACCTCCAGAGCAGAGAACAACCTCTGGATTCCTCATCGCCAGCAGCCTCTTCCTCCTCGCACTGCTGTTCCTGGGTCTTCAGAGATGGCAGGGTAAGAGTGGGGCCACCCTCAGCCCTGGTGGAAGCCAGCTCCTGCAGCCCCTGCCTGGCAACAGACCCGTTTTGTTCTGTTTTCTCCCTGCCAGCTCAGCGAGATCTGCCAAGGCCCTGAGGCACTCTCAGAGGCTGCTTTCCTGCCTCAGAAAGGACTCCGTGGAACCAAGAAAAGTATGCAGGTGGCAGCAAGCTCCGTGTAGGCCTCCCTGCCTTCCTCTGCTGCATGCCCTGAGTCGCTGCACCATGGGAGAGAATGGGAAGAGGTGAGGGCACACCAGGAAGGCTGCACATCTGGTACAGGCTAACACCAAAGTGCCAGCTTGGAGGGTGCATGGGGTTGGGGGGGGGGGGAGGATGGCAGGAAAATACACAGGAAGGAATCAAGAAAGGCGCAAGTGAGGGAGAGAGGGACGAGGGGCAGGCCACCACTCTGCCTCTGTGCAAATAAAAGCCAATGTGTCCTGGGAGGCAGAGCTCTGCCACTTTGTCTTCTTACACAGGGTCACCACGGAGTCCTGTCCCCAGTCCTGGCTACCCCAGCTGGCCAAGTGCTCAAAGTAGAACACAGCAGCTCTGATAGGCAACCTCAGGGGTTCCACCTCAGTGGAACTCAGTAAGGCAGCCATGCAAGAGCACCAATCATGGGGGAAGGTGGTGTTCACCAGAGGCTTCTTCTGGGCATGTCCCTTGCATGACAGGCAGCCCCAGGACCCAGAAAGGAGGAGGGCAGAGACCCAGGAACCCATATAGTTGTTTGCCAGCGTGGGCCCACTCAGCTTCCTGTCAGCACTTCCTCCCCTCAACTCCACCCCCACCCAAGCACCTGCAAGAGCAGGGCTGCTTCAGGTACAAACCCACCAAGACTGTCGGGCACAATGAACCCCGGCCCTTCTGGCCTTGAATTACATCTGGGTATTAGAAAGAAATGACACTCCCCAGACCACAACTTAGTCGGTTTAGGAACTTGTATTTTTTTTTTTTTTGGCCTTTGTTTTCAGAATACATGAAATCGGTAAATATGCCACATGCCTTTGGCAGAAGTACAGCTGTTATTACTCTCTACAAGTATGAGATCAGGGTAGGAAAACAGACAGAGGTGATGACAGACACACAGTGGACACCCCACATCATCTCATGGCAAACCGAGGAAGGGGATGTGGGAAGCTCAGCTTCATTTGACTGCCAAGTCCAAGGTTCAGTTGCATATTTGCTCATGCACATGGACGGTGGGAAGGAGATAGCAACGACACAGAAGAGGGTCCAGGGTGGGGTAGGGTGAGAAAGAAAAGTAGGAAGGCTAACAGCCGCCCCCCAGAACATATACCCAACTGCATCTGGTGAGCCTCAGGGGGATGGAAACCCAGAAAATACTTCCCATGGGGGGATAGGGCTGGGGGGCCAAGAGGGCAGATTTGCTCCAGGCTTGGGCCACAGCGAGGACAGTGGTGTGGTTCTTCTCCAGCGGTGACCCCTGCACTAGGGCCAGGAGGAGCCTGGAGGAGAGTGGAGGCCTTCCAGGGGCACCGCTGGGAGGGTACACTGACTGCTTGCTTCCAGCTCTTCGGTCCCGCCCTGGGGGCAGGACGAAAAGAATGTGGGAGATTGGGGGCGAAAAGGAAAGGGAAGATGGTTTGGCACAATGAAATGCTGCTGCATGGAACATGGGCCCAGCACGGCCTCAGCCTCTTTCTGCCTGCTGACTGGGGGACAGAGGAACTTAAGGGCTGCGGGGACGCCCCTTCGTGTCCCCAGCTGGCTCTTCTCCCCACCAACCCCATGTGACATGACAGAACATCCTTGCCTGAAGCTTAGCCATGACCCTCAGAGTGATGGAGGGGATCCCACTCTTGGGCTCCACTGTCTGTACACAAACCACGCAAGGGTGAGGGAGGGAGAGAGGGTGGCACTCTGAAGCGGAAGAGATGGGGTGGAGGGGAGGTGAGAACAAGAGGGGGCTCCAGACCACAGGGCCCCACAACAGGCAAGTCATATACACAGCACACCTGTTGGACTTCTCCATGGCTTCAAGGTCAGCCAGGGCTGGGCAAGGAGATGGAAGTGGCCTGAACAAAAGGCTCCCATGGGGGTCCAGGGATCAGGTCCTTTCTAACGGACTCAGCTTTCTGCATCAGGAGCAAGGCCTGAACGGGACCTTCCTTAACACAAGAAGGCCATGGGGTGAGCATTCTCCACTGAGGCCCCCTACTTACCATTTCTGTATAACCAACAGTCTTTCCCTTGGCCATGAATGGAAGCCAATCAAAGGCCTCACATTTCTGCTAAGATGCCCTCACACACAACGCCAAATGCTGCCAACCATTTAACAGGAGGCAGCTCCTCCTGGTTCGCAGTGGTGGAACTGCATCTATGGAGTCCCAGGTTTGTCAAAATCACTGAGTGTTCTCCAGACCGATAGAGAATAACCACGAAAGGCTGTACGAAATCCCCAGAGATTTCGAAAACCTTGAACTCACAGTTTAGGAAGAACTGCAAACCACAGTCTGTATTACTTGAGGTGGAATGGGACTTGGACCAATCCCCAGGACCCGCGTCAGGCCTGGTATGAAGAAAAGCTCCAAGTGACCATGGCAGCACCAATCACGCTGCCATCTTCCCGAGTCTTCCTGGTCTCTTGCCAGCAGCCTGGCTGTGCAGAAGACACCACAGGCACCAACAACCTTCTCCTCCCCTGACTGTTGGCAACCACTTGGGGACACTGCACCACAGCCACTCCCCTCCCCTTCCCATGGCCTCCAATTTGCTTTTGGCTTTGGGGGAACTTAAGTAAAAAGATAAAGGTGTAGGGAGGAGGCACCAGCTGTCACTCTTCAGGTGGTCCCTTAGAGACTGCGCCCCCCAGCAGCATTTCTAGTGTGGAGGGAAACGGAGCAAATGGACGCAAACGAAAAGGAGAAGTGGGTGATGGAGAAGCCTGGGCTGGGATGGGGAGACCAGTGAGGATGCTGGTTGAGAGAGAGCAGACACACAGAGGAGGACATGAGTTTGGAAGGTGATGGAGGACGGGGGAGGGGTGGCACATTCTCAAGTAAAAAAGTAGACTGCACACAGGAATCAGGAAATCCCGGAAGGAAGAGAGAGAGACAGGAGAAAACAAGAGGGCAAATTACGTCACGGTACCAGACAAATTACGTCAAGTTACCAGTCTTTCAGGTGCAAGGTGCCCCACACCCAGAGTCACCCTCTGACCCCAGCCAGTGACAAATAACAGAGCCCCACTTCCCCGGGCAGGAGGGAAGCTTCTCCCCACAGAACTCTACAAGGAGAAGGTGTGTCCATCCAGGGAGGCCCCAGTCTCGGCCCCTGTGCCCTCCCGAACCTGGCGATGATACCCCCAGCAGCCGTCTCCATACCTCGGTCTGAGCAGCCCCACTCCCCAGGCAGGCAGGCAGGCAGGCAGGGCTGGGGGACGGCGCTGGGACCTTCCCACCTCTTCACCCCCATGAGCAACCTCAGCGATACTTACTTACAATAACTACCACGATGATGGCACAGATAGCTCCCAGCATGATCATCATCTGAAGAAACAGAGCAGAGGGAGAAACCAGTGAGCCTTGACCTCGAGGGGAAGGGAGAGGACCAGGACTAGAGCCAAACCTCTTCCCCATCCGTGGGACGGAAGCAGTTACCCCCCAACACACAGGAGGTGCGGCAGCCCGAACCCTCTGCTTCCCACGGACTCACAATCCCAGCATCACATCCGCGGTTAAACAAACGAAAATGGGGGGAGTGGGTACCAGCGCTGTGGCGTTGCACCACAAAGCTACCGCCTACACTGGCACCAGCTCCTGTCCATTTCTTCACTTCCAGTGCAGCTCTGTGCTAATGGCACAGGAAAAGCAGAGAAAGGTGAGCCAAGTGTTTGGGCCCCTGCCACCCATGTGGGAGACCCAGATGAAGCCCTTGGCTTTAACACGGCTCACCCCTGACCACTGTTAGCCACTTGAGGAGTGAACTAGTGAATGGAAACTCTCTTTTTTTTTTCCCTGTGTAACCCTGCCTTTCAAATAAATAAAACTTCCACAAATGTTTTTAATTGTACGTACAAAGAACACTGTGATAATTGGATAATGTATACAAGATATAATGAATAAAACAAGGTGATTAGCATTCATTTCCCTTTAAACATTTACCATTTCTTTGTATAATATGCTGCTGTGAACTACTGTCACCCTGCCATGCTGTAGGACATGACAGCCTATTCCTCCTAGCTGATTGCAACTTTTCACAAACTTCATGAGATCTGCAGCTGGCTCCTTCTGACAGTTCCGATTGCCTGGGATCTTTGAAAGGAATTCCAGTGAAGACACAGACTTCAGATCTCTAGTTTAATGGTTCAGGTTGCCATTGTGAAACTTTCAATTCATTTCAAGCATTTGTGCTGGAGACTTCTTTGAGCCACCTGCAAGCCCAGAAGGGAGTTCGCTTTCTCCCATCAGAGGGTCTGAGCACACTCGCCTCCTCTGGTGGCTGCGCTGGGGTACTACAACCCAAGCGGGCAGCTCCCTGGCATTTCATACCCAGCACAGCACTGGGCGGTGGAGCCGTGCCATTGAAAGGCAGAAAGGTGGAAGGCTGACAATTTATTTTGCCTTTGAAACAAAAGGAGGCTCAGAAAAAGAAGGGACTGAAGATGAGAAAATTCACCTTGCAGTTTTTCCACCAATACTTCCTCTTGAGCTTGGCAGCACTGCTCTCAAACTGGGATGCGCCTGCCTGCAAGGCGTCAGCTCGGTCATCCAGCTCCGACAGCTTCTGGTCCCTCTCCAGAACCTTGTCCACATTCACACGCATGATGTCCACCACCTGTTGGGGGGTCGCACACACCAAACCGCTAAGCTCTCCACCAGAAACAAGTGGCGGGGGGGGACAACGTCACCAGGACAGATGGCCCCGGACACGTACAAGGGATGCAGGGCTGCCCAGGGCCTGAAGCAACCAGCTTGAGTCACAAAAACACAAGCAGGACGCACCCTCGCCCTTGGAACCTCCCAGAGAAAAGGCTGTCCACCCACCTCCTCCACTTGAGCCTGTGTTTGCTGTAGTCGTCGGTTACTGGTCATGTTGGGAGGAGGGCCAGGGGGACCCCCACCTGGGGCGGCCCCTTCTGTCCCTTCAGCGGGCGGCTGAGCTGGAGCCGACCTGTGGAGAGCAACGGGCAGAGACCCCAAAATAAGCAAGACATGAAAGGAGTTACTGGCGTTCTCACCCCACGCCTCCAAGGCAACTGTGATTCCAAGAAGCCAGAGAGAGGTAGGATGGCTCAGTGGCTGAAGTCCTCGCCTTGCATGCACTGGATCCCATGAGAGCACCGGTTCATGTCCTAGCTGCTCCACTGTCCATCCAGCTCTCCGCTTGTGGCCCGAGAAAGCAATGTATGATGACCCAAAAGCCTTGGGTCCCCACACTACACCTTCTGGGAGACCCAGAAGAAGCTCCTGGCTTTAGACTGGCTCAGTTCTGGCTGCTGCAGGTACTTGGCGAGTGAGCCAATGGAAGGAAGAACTTTATGACTCTTCTTCTCTCTGCAAATTTGCCTTTCCAGTAAAAATAAATGAATCTCAATAAAGCAGTGAGAGATGAACATCCTGTAACAACACTTGAAATGGGTCCAGGAACACCTAGATTTCCTCTGTGGCCATCCTGTGACCCAAACTCAAGCCCATCCTTTGGCACTACAGCCCTGAGAACAAAGGTTCCAGCCTCAGCTGGGATGGCACGTCCCTGGCCATCAGAAGTCCTTCACCTGATGCATGCTGGGAAAACCCAGTAGAGCACAGGATAACTTCACAGGCAAGACAGGTTCACAGGAACAAGGCTACGCAAGGCTTGACTCCACGCTCAGGGCGCCAGGCCCTGCTTGTTCTTCACCCACAGATGAGCCCTCTGGGCCTGCCAGGAGGACTACTTGGAGAATCCCCAGAAACAAAGGCTGCAGAGCAGGCCCGAGTCAGGACTGTCGGCTCACGCTGCTGCTGCTGCTGCTGCGGCTGCCGGCAGGGAGGAGCAGGGTTTCGCTTAGAAATCTGGGAGCCCAAAGTAATCCCATTAGTTCTGGAAACCATTCCAAGAGCTTAGACAGGAAACAGAAAGGCCAGAAACAGTCCTCCAGGTACATGCCACATGGATATCCCATTCTTGCCTTTGCCTGATTTGGCAGGATCTTGGAAGACTTGCCTAGTTCCTGAGGTTCCCAAAAGAAATCCTAGTTTATTCTGCTCTCCTCCTGAAGCCTGTCCTTTCATCCAGTACCACTCAGGGCCAGGGGAACTAAGCCTCCAAAGACGAGGATGGGTCCACTACAATGGCTCAACTGGCTAATCCTCCCCTTGCAAGTGCCAGCATCTTATATGGCCATCAGTTTGTGTCCCAGCTGCTCCATTTCCCATCCAGCTTGCGGCCTGGGAAAGTAGTGAAGGAAGGCCCAAAGCCTTGGGACCCTGCACCCGTGTGGGGGACCTGGAAGAAGCTCCTGGCTTCAGATTAGCTCAGCTCTGGCTGTTGTGGCTACTTGGGGAGTGAGCCAGTGGACAGAGATCTTTCTGACTCTCCTCTCTGCAAATCTGTCTTTCCAACGAAAATAAACAAATCTTAAAAAAAAAAGAACCTATGATGGGCTCTTCACGCTAAATTCCCTTTCCATGTCCCCACATGTGGAGGCCAAGTCTACTTCCCAAATAATTCTCAGACACCTCTCCAGGTTGCTGGAGAAAGAAACTGCCAGAAGAACCTCTCACACCAAACGGGGACCTTCTAAACCACACAGGGGTCCTCCCAAAAGTTTGAGGGAAGTAGAAATAAAAGTTGAGGTTGGTGTAAAAATGAAAAAAAAATTTATGCAGATTTTTATTATAATATGCATTTTCCATTAACTTTCTGAAGCCTTCATCTATTTCACAGTCGTCCAAACTCCCAAGCAGCGGCATTAGCACACCATCCCCAAAAAGCAAGCTGCCAGGCGAGTCCCAGCAAGGCAGTTTGGCTGGGGGCTGAAGTTCCTCCCCTTCACTAAGTGAGTGTTCTGCAGTCTAAAAAAGATGGGCCATAACCCCTGAGAGAGGCCACCATGACACCCCACTCATCCCCACTTCAGGAATACGTTTTCCCCCAAGGCCCAAGGAAGGAGAAGATACCCAGCCCAGGCAGAAGGGCAGTGGGGGAAGGGAAAAGATTCTGGGCTCCTTCTGAGCTAGCTAAGCAATCTGGCTGCAAACGGAAGGCAGAAAATCCAATGAGTAGGTAGCAGCCACCACTGGCGGCCATCCAGGACAGTGGCACCAATGACAAGATTAAGGTCAGGGGCCTCGTGATGCCCTGCCAGCCACCTCACCCTCTCCCCCTCCAGCCAGCCATCCTACATGGACATCCTGTGGAACCCCTTGCTGAGAAGACGCCCCCCTCCCACCCACCCGATGAAAATGGCTCCAGTCCAAAAGACACAGAATAGCAACCATGTGAACACCACCAAGAGCAGGAGGGTGAGTTGCTTCTGCAGCATTTGGGCTGCTCATTTCACTTGCTGCTACTGGAGGGGAGTTGGCCACAAGAGGAAGATCCTCCAGCGAGGAAGCCGGGAGTCAGAGAGAAACTTGGCCTCTTCAGCATGCTACATTTGGGTAGCCACAGTCCTCCCTCGGGGGATGCTGGCAGAAGGGGGTGAGGCTGCGTCGGTGCACGTTGGAGGCAGGGACAAGGCTGAGCCCCCCGTCTCTCCCAGATACTTGGCGAAGAACCTCCAAGTGGATGGCCTTGGGAGAGACGCTGTGTGGCATCCCGTGCCACTGCCCCTCCAGTGCCTCTGGGCGGCTCACCTGGCGCCAGGGACCTGACAGGGAAGTGTCCGTAGTTTGTTGCTCACTGCCACCACCCAGGTGGGCACACACCTCCCACCTTGGATGAGGGGCGCCTCCCCCAGCAAGTGCACCTGACCACCGCCGCGGGCCTTGGAGGTCCCGCCGTGGCTGTCCCCAGGCCCGGTTCGGCCTCTCCCAGACTCCCGTTACACGGGAGACCAGAAAGAGGCTCCATGCAGACGAAGAAAGGCTGTCATGAACGGGGGGCCCCTTGAGCCCCCTGCGGGCCGCTAGCTGCGGCTGTTGCGGGACTGGCCCGGTCTGGGGGTGGTGGAGGTTCCCCGCGTCGCCGCAGCTGCTGCAATGCGCCATTTTCCGTCCCGCAGAGTCGGGCGCCAGGCGCGAGAGTCCGCAAGGAGGCCTCGAGCCCCCGACCTCGGAGACCAACTCACATTTTTCTGACGGAGACAGGGAGGGTCGGTCTCCTCTTCGGAAGCCGCGACGAGACACCGGGCGGTGGGACGATGCGGCTGAACCGGACGGAACCTCCGAGCTCCGCCTCTCGCTGACCACCCGGAGCTCTAGCCGGGCTGGAACGGACTGCAGCTACCGCGCCAGCCGCGTCTTTATTAAGTGCTGACCACGCCTCCAAGCTGACATTGACAACCCCGGGGACCAATCGACGCACAGAACCATCCTTGGAAGGCGGGGATATATGTGAGCCCGCCCCATTCCTCGCAACTTTGCCAATCACAGCTCTGAGAAGATGCGGTGAGGCTGGTTGTTGTCCGACTCGGCGACGCGGCGTGGGCCCTGCCCGGTCCTCCTTGCCCTCAACAGGCGCTTCTCCGGGGGCCTCCCCACCAGTAGCCCTGCAGCTCCCGAAGTCCCTGGCGTACTAGGAGGCTGGCAGCTTGAGTGGGCTTAAACAAGTTCGTGGGACATACACATGCTCCCCTGCTTCAGTATGTTCATAAACTTTACGAAGGCCCCTCCTGTGGCTGGCATCCCACCTTCTGTGTTCCAAGAATCCGCTTCTTCCCACTAGTGTCCCTGTCCTGTATGTCATAAGTGATATGGCCCACTAGGAAAAGGAAACATCTGCCTGTGGTGCCAGCATGCCCTGTGGAGGCCTCTGCAAGTCCCCACTGCTCCACTTCCATCCAACTCCTTGCTTATGACCTGGGAGAACAGGCCAAAGCCTTGGGCCCTGCACCCACGTAGGAGACCTGGAAGAAGTTCCTGGCTCCCAGCTCCAAGGGTTTCAGGAGTGGGCCAGCCAAAGAAAGAATCTCCGTCTCTCCTCTCTGTAAATCTGCCTTTCCAATAAAAATAAAAAATCTTATAAAAATATTTATTTTTATTTGAATGGCAGATTTACAGAGAGGAGGAGAGACAGAGAGGAAGATCTTCCATCCGATGATCCAGTCCCCCAGTGAGTGCCAACCCGAAGCAGGAGCCAGGAGCTCTTCCAGGTCTCCCACACGGGTGCAGGGTCCCAAAGCTTTGGGCCGTCCTCAACTGCTTTCCCAGGTCACAGGCAGGGAGCTGGATGGGAAGCAGGGCTGCTGGGATTAGAACCAGCAACTATATGGGATCCCAGTGCGTTCAAGGCAAGTACTTTAACTGCTACACTATCATGCTGGACCGAAGCAATTTTTAAAAATTCATTTTCAAGTGCCTGTGAGCTTCCACAGCAAATGAGTACCCTCCAGAGTTCTGGGAATACAGCCTTTCCTATGCATTGTCCATTCTCTGGAATATTCTGCCAAGCTTGCTACTCATTTTGCCAGTGTGGATGTTCATGAGCAGGTGTGACTGTGTATAACTGCTATCTGATTAATAACTACAGTGCAACATCCCCATGTGGGAGACATCAAAATGAAAACACACACACACACAAAGAGGCCTCCTCAAATCAATGAAACAGTGAATCAATGAAGTATCTGCTTGCAGCACAGCCCTTGCTCATGTTCTTTAAGAACCCACCGGAATGATTACAACTCTGCTGGAGGGACAGGTGTTTGGGGTACAACCCGTATTCCTTACAGGAGTCCCTGGGTTCCAGTCCCGGCTGTCCTTCCAGGTCGGCTTCCTGCTGAGCTGCACGCTGGCAGCAGCAGGGTGATGAGTCAAACACCCTGACCTCCACACGAGAGGACTCGCCCACACGGAGTTCCAGGGTCCATTTAGTCTGGCCCTGGCTGTCACAGGCAGCTGGGAAGAGAACCAGCAGGTGGAAGCTCTTGTTTCTCTCATTGCCTTTCAAATAAGTCATTTCTAAAACACCCTTAAACAATGTAATGATCATATATGGTTACTCTTTCTTCCTCCTGAGACCACACGAAAATGAAAATGTGTGAAAATTGAAAAAAAAATTACAAGCCATTAAAGTCAAAATGAACATGAGCAGGGAGCTAGAACTGTGGCTCAGCAGGTAAAGCCACACCTTGCAACCCTGGCATCCTGTATGAGTGCCAGTCCACATCCCTGCTGCTCTGCTTCTGATCCAGCTCCCTGTAAATATGTCTGGGAAGTCCTCACCTTGAATGCGCCAGGATCCCATATGGGCGTCAGTTCTAATTCCCGGCAGCTCCACTTCCCATCCAGCTCCCTGCCTGTGGCCTGGGAAAGCAGTCGAGGACGACCCAAAGCTTTGGGAGCCTGCACCTGCATGGGAGACCTGGAAGAAGTTCCTGGCTCCTGGCTTCGGATCGGCATAGCATCGGCCGTTGCACTCACTTGGGGATTGAATCATCGGACGGAAGATCTTCCTCTCTGTTTCTCCTCCTCTCTGTAAATCTGACTTTCCAATAAACAAATAAATCTTTAAAATAAAAAAATAAACAAACACATAATACACCTTTTTTTAAAAGACTGTACTAAATGGTTCTTTGGATATTTATAAAATTGTACAACCATCTTCACTGAATCCAGAACATTTTCTTTTCAAAAAGATAATTCTAGGACATTTACAAATAACAATTTTACAATTTTTTTTTTTTACAAATAAAAATTGTCTTACAGTGTATAATTGGATCTGGGGATATTTATACATCGTGAAATGACTAAATTAAGCTAATTACTATACACATGTGTATTATTAACCTCACGTGGTTTTCGGTTTTTTTGTGTGTGTGGCGAGAATTCTTAAATAATTCTACTCAACTGTTTCCAAGTGTTTAATACCTGACACTTACAGCCACCATGTTATACAACAGACTAGCCTAACAACATCCCCTAACTGAAGCTATTCTTTAACAAATTTATTCTAACACCCTTTCTCCCAGAACCTTTTCTTTTAAATCTAAAAAGAAGCCCCACAAGTTAAAAGTCACTTCCCAACCACTGCCTTTTTTTTTTTTTTAAGATTTATTTTTATTATTTTTTCATTGGAAAGGCGGATATACAGAGAGGAAGATCTTCCGTCCGATGATTCACTCCCCAAGTGAGCGCAACGGGCCGATACTATGCCGATCCGAAGCCAGGAGCCTCTTCTGGGTCTCCCATGCGGGTGCAGGTTCCCAAAGCTTTGGGCCGTCCTCTGCTGCTTTCCCAGGCCACAGGCAGGGAGCTGGAAGGGAAGCGGGGCTGCCGGGATTAGAACCGGCGCCCATATGGGATCCCGGGCGTGCAAGGCGAGGACCTTTAACCACTTGCGCCACCGCGCCGGGCCCCCAACCACTGCCTTTTAACACAGCCTCGAGTGACAACGAATCGACTTTGTAGCTTTGTCTATTTAGGCATTTCATATAAATGCAATCATACATTAGGTAACCTTCTATGACTGGCTTCCTTCCTTTGGCATGATTTCAAGATTCAGCACACATCACTACCTCATTGTATTTGTGGCTGAAGAATATTCCCGTGTACAGCTCTATTGCAGGAACCAGCAGTCATTGATTTACACGGTACTGGCTACTTAACCCAAAAGGCCACAAGGTGGCGCCAGAGCCTCCATTCCGTTCAGATAACGCCTATGTCACGGGTAGTGTTGGTCAGCTCTAATCCCAGCTTCCTAATGATGTACACCCATGAAGGCTGCAGCTGATGGCTCAAATGCCACCCATGGGAAATCCATAGACTTCTCAGCTCCTGCCACTGTGGGCATCTGGGGGAGCGAACCAAAGGATCTGAGTTGTTTGTTGTTATGCACATGTCTCTCAAATAAATGTCTCTCAATCCTAAAAATTGGGGGAGGGGGGTGTCACAGGCTGTCCTCCATCCCAAGGTATAGAGGCGATTGGGAGGCTGGGTGTGGCTTCTCCCTAGTCTCCCCTCCTCCCCCGATACAGAAAGGTCCTTGACCCTTTGCACCCTAAACAACTAAGTAAAAATCAAAGTAATTACATTAAAAAAAATCTGCCTCTAACAACAAAAATAAATAAGCCTTTAAAAAGTATTCATGGGTCCTGGCGGCAAAGTCTAGCAGCTAAAGTCCTCGCCTTGTACATGCCAGATCCCATGTGAGTGCTGGTTCGTATCCTGGCTGCTCCACTTCCCATCCAGCTCCCGGCTTGTGGCCTGGGAAAGTCGAGGACGGCCCAATGCCTCGGGACTCTGCACCCACATGGGAGACCCAGAAGAAGCTCCTGGCTTCAGATCGGTACAACCCCAGCTGTTATGGCCACTTGGAGAGTGAACCAGTGGATGGAAGATCTTTGTCTCTCTGCCTCTCTGTAAATCTGACTTTCCAATAAAAATAAATAAATCTTAAAAAAAAAGGGGGGGGGGCAGGAAATTCTGGCATGACATGGTCCATTTGTGCTTGGAATAGCTTGTGATTTTTTAAAAGAGTTATTTATTTTCACTGTAAAAGGAGATTAACAAAGAGGAGGACCAGAAAGGTCTTCTATCCAAGTTCACTTCCCAAATGGCCCACAATGCCTCTGGGTGAGCCAATCTGAAGCCAGGTGCTTTTTTCAGGTCTATCACAAGGGTACAGGGTCCCAAGGCTTTGGGCTGTCCTCCACTGCTTTTCCAGACCACAAGCAGGGAGCTGGATGGGAAGTGGGGCTGCTGAGATTAGAACTGGTGCCCATATGGGATCCTGTCATATACAAGGCTAGAACTCTAGCCACTAGGCTACCACACTGGGCTGCAAAAAGTCACTTTTGAAACATGAAAAGCAAAGTGCTAAAAACTGCTCATAGGGCCCAGCTCTGTCTCTCATCCTCTTTGTTTATTTGACTTTTTAATAAAAATAAATAAATCTTTGAAAGAAAAAAAACTGCTCATAATCAGGTCTTCTTTCTCCAGCTCTTCTTTCTTCAGAGGCATCGGCACAGCTAGATGCTAAAGGGCAGGTGGTGAGGACCAAAGACCCTGAAGCCAGAGACGACTCAGACTGCAAATCACAGCACCGGCAGAAGCAGCATCCACAAGAAATGCAGATTTAAACACCACATTCCAAAGGAACTCCATTTTATTACAGAGCACAGCAGCAGCTCTTTCCTCATGGGGCAAAGGCAGTCCTGCTTCTCCAGGGTGCTTGCACGCCTCCCGGCTCCGCGCTCGCTCCTACCGGTGCTTCCCATGCCGGTTGAAGTGCTTGTACAGGTACCTGATCCGTTTGTTCAGATTGTGCAGGTCATCGGCGAACATGCGACTCCCAACCATTTTCTTCTTTCGGATGCAACGCTGCAATTCGTTCCCCTTCCAGCCTCGAAGCCACCGGGGCCCCCGGATCAGCTCCTTTGGGTGCTTCTCAAAGTCACCTGGACAACATGAAAAATGTGCGTTAGCTCCAAGACACGAGAACTCAGCCTAGACTGGACAAGCCTTCCACTCAGGCAGCTTCCGGAGTCCACGGCCACCAAAAAGTTGATGGGAAAACGGAATTATGTTTACTTTCGTACAAGACAAGACAAACAAAAAAAAACAAAACCTCAAACACACAGGTACAGAGGGGTCTTTAGAAATATATGAGAAAATGCGTATTATTTTTAAAATGCACAGATTCCAACATTTTTCCACCTAACACGCAATTCTTCTCTATTTTTCAGCGAGCCATTTGAAACCCCCAAGATGCATTGTGACATGGTATCCAGGGCCAGATCGCTTAAGGGTCAAATGCATTTACTATTTTGGGGAAATGACTTCATTCTCTTAGGTCCTGGGTTTACTCACTTGCAAGGCAGAAAGGTCATCGTAAGGAAGAGGATACAGTGAGTTCACACACTGAAGGCATTCAGAAAAGCAGTGACCACCACACGTGCGCCTTTCCTGCCGGGCACACCACCCAAACACCTGTGAGATAACACTTGCTCCAGCCCCATTTCCTTTCTGAAATGCCACCCGGGGGTCACGTCTCACCCAGGATGCCGATATTATCATACACTCCAAACAGGGCCCTCTTCTCGTTCCAACGATCCACTGTTTTTGGGGGCGGCAGGGTGAGCCTCACACGGGACATTCCAGCAATACCTGCGAAGCAGAAATGAGAAGGAATCGCAGTCGAGGACGGGGAGTAAAAAGCAGTCCTCGAGGTACCTTGCCAACCCCACTCACCCAGAGAGAAGCTTCTACAAGCCAGGGGCACCCAATCCCACAGGATCCTGCTGGCACTCCCAAAGAGGAGCCCTGCCATCCTTCCCGTCTCAGCAACACACCCGACAAGACAGGAGACTGTGACCGGAGACAGCCTCAATAGGATTCCATGCTAGGGGAGGCCATGATGGACGTTCCCAGGTAGCTGTGGGCGCAGGGCCCCGCCCCTCTAGTTCCGGGTCGCGGGCCCCGCCCAGGTGCTTCCGCTCGGCCCCTCACAGTCTCTCGCGCCACAGCGGTTTTTACGAACGCCATTTTACAGGGGAAGCTATTTGAGGCCTGGCGTGTGACACTATCGCAGCGGACGCGCCGGCTCCGGCAGGGCCGTCGCACCGGGACGAGCGGGACTCCATCTCGGCGGGGAAGGGAAGGCGGGGACGCACGAGCCCAGGCCCCGCCCCCCGATGACGCGCGGCTGGCTCTGGCTCCTGCGCCGTGTGATTGGCTGGCTCCGCCCAGCGAGCCTCGCCATTGGGTCTCTGGCAGCCGTTGAGATTTGAACGTCCAGTTTGTGCCCGGGCCCGCGCAGCGCTGGGTTCCGAGGCGGGTGTTCGGGACAGCCTGCCGCGGATTGGCTGTTGTCTCTGCCAACTTGTAAACTCCGTCGCTGATTGGTGCGTATTGTGCACTCCTGTTTTTTTGGGTTTTTTTCCCTTTACCGTTCCAGCCTGGACCGCTGCAATCCAGCGATCAAGTCAAGTCTTCAGGTGATGTGTGTGGGTTCTGGGGTCCCGCGAGGGGAACCTTTAAAGAAGTGGGGTGGTGAGGTGCGGCTTGGTAGACACACTGTGATTTATCTGCCCACGACGGACTGTGTGTGGTGTGGGCGCATGGCTGTACTTGCCCACGTCTGTGACCTGGGTTGTGTTAGGATGCGGAGCACGGGATTCTGATGAAGAGAATCAGATGGAATATGGCGCATTGGGGCTGTCTCATGGAGTAACGTGGCACAGGGTGGACAAACAGTAAATGTTAATTCTCAGTGCGGAACTGGAAAACGCCCGTGCTCGCCGCTGTTCTGGCCTCAGACCAGAACAGTGTCGTTTTACAGCTCTTTAAACAGTTTCATCGTCATCGATTTGACCCTCGGAGCGATGTTGTGAATTAGTTCACCCCTTTTATGGATGAGACCCAACGGGTTCAATAACGTGATCAAGTGACAGTTTCAATTGGAATTAGTCTTGTCCAGAGTTGATCTCAGATCCTCTTAAAGTCAGGTCACCGGCTTGTTGTAAGACTAAAAACCAGTCTATCCTAGGGGCAGGGCAGTAATAGAAACCTCGGCTGTAACCCTGACCCTGGGCCTGTTGGTTTCCAGCTCTGTGAGTCCGTTGGCCAAGGATGTCTCCCCAGCTGTTTGAATTCCACCTGCCCTTAGCCCCAGAGGAGTTGTTGAAGAGCAGAGGGGTGAATCAGTATGTGGTGCAAGAGGTACTGCCTGTCAGACAGCTTCCGGCACAGCTCAGAGGTAAGCCTGGGGATGCTGGCAGTGCGCCTGGTGCTTCAGAAGAGCACCCCACAGACGGCGCTTTCCGCTCCTGGTTCCGTGAGGGCAGCCAATTGGCCTTCCTGGACTCTGCTGCTTTCTCCCTAGCACTGTGCAGGATGCATGACCCCAAGTGGAGGTCAGGGATTCAGGCTCGGCCTAACCAGCGGCTGATATAAGAAATTGAGCTGAGATTCACAGCCTGGTGTGACCCACACACAGCGTTTTAACCCCTGGACCAAGTGGGTGCCCCAAAACAACTGACCTGATGGTGAATTTGTTCACCCTAGCATTACCACCAACAGGAGTGACGCTTGTACTGTGATAAACTACAGCTACGTCGTTAGGCATGTGGCCTGTCTTTGACCAAGTGTCATTGTTAGTGGTGTATGGCTCTATATACTGTATGTTACTGGCAGATTCAGTGAGGCACTGCCAGCACAATGCCCCGATGCCAGTGGGAGGGGAGAGCCTCAGGGACAGAGTAAAAGCTGGCGCCAAGCTGCCTGGCTGTAACTCGTGCTCCAGTGCTCTGCCCTTGGGCAGGTTGCTTCTCTATGGGTCTCAGCCCGTCCATAGGGATGCCGAGAGTAAGCTACTGCACTGTCTCCCTGAGGAAACACCGGGGTGGGGTGACAGCTTGATGCCTCTGCAGCCTGTCTCCTCTTGATGTTGTGTCAGGGTCGCCTGAGACAGCTACTTGATCTGATGTCGAAAAGAGGAAAAGGGGGCTTTTTGTTCCATGCTTTCTTCTTTGAAACTCTCAAAACAGACCAGAATTGAATCGTGTGTGTTTTCTCCATGAGTAAGGAAATGAGACTATGCAAATTGGCTATATTGATAGGTTATTACTTGGGACCCTCCCTTAGTCTGATCACGTTACCATTTGATAAAAGAAGATAGATGGCAGAGGTGGATTGGTGGGTGGCCAAGCCAGTGTCCGCATTATATAGGTTATATGTATTATCAGTTGCACATGTTGCACACTAAAATTATTTTTCAGTCATTTCAATGCATTTTTTTAATGGATGGCCACTACTAAGAGGGTTTTTTTTTTGTTTGTTTGTTTGTCTTTCTTTTAGAACTGTTGCTTTGTTTTGATTTTGTTACATAGGATCCTAATTTCTACTATAGATTTGAAAGACAGAGTTCAAGAGGAAGAGACCAGAGACAATCATTTTGTGATTCGCTCCACATATGGCCACAGTAGCGCAGCCTAAGCCAGGCTGAGACCAGGAGCCTGGAACGCCATCCGGGTCTCCCGCGTGGGTGACTGGCCCAAGCATTTGGACCATCCTCCGCTGCTTTCTCAGGTGTGTTAGCAGGGAGCTGGATCTGAAATGGAGCAGCTGGCACTCTGTCACACGGTCCTATGGGATGATGGCATCCTAGGCAGAGCACGACGCTGGCCCCTCGCAGGGCACCTCTGAGCAAGTGAGGAGATGAGCTGAGCATCCCAAGCAGACAGACAAGCCAGTACAAAAGCGCTAAGGGAGAAAATGCCAGTATACTTGAAATAGTAACTGGAAAAAAAAAGAGCTCAAGTTGGAAGTAGTACAGACTTTTTTTTAAGTCTTGTTCTTCAAAATATGGTCCTTGGATCAATATCTTCTTTGTAATGATTTGGGAACCTAATAGCAATGCGAGATGTCCCGGGCTGGCACTGTGGTATTGCATGTTAATCCTCTGCCTGCAGTACCAGTATTGTACATGGGCACTGATTTGAGTGTTGGCTGCTCTACTTCCCATCCATCCCCCTGCTAATGGCCTGGGAAAGCAGCAGAAGACTGTCCAGGTCCTTGGGCCCTGCACCCGTGTGAGAGACCTGGAAGAAGCCCCGGGCCACTGACTTCAGATCTAGTGCCAGCTATTGTGGTGCCTCAGGGAGTGAACCAGCAGATGAAAGATCTCTCTCTTCCTCTAGCTGTCTGTAACTCTGCCTTTTAAATAAAATAAGTCTGGAAGGGAGGAAATAAGGAAACGCAGCAAGTCAAGCCTTCCCCAGACTACTGAATCAGAATTCAGACATATCGGACATGACTGATTTGGGTGCACGTACAACCTTGAGAAGCTTTGCTATCTAGAGTCTTGGAGCTTGTGCTGAAGACTTCAGCTTCGGTGTGAGCCAGCTTGGGGTTTGAGCATGGCACTGACACGGCCTCTCACTTTGTAAGTCAAGGCCATGGGGCTCATCCCCCAGGTGCTACTGCCAGTGTTCCATATGGGTGTCAGTTCAACTCCCGGCTGCTCCACTTCTGATCCAGCTCCCTGCTTATGGCCTGGGAAGCCAGCAGAGGCTGGCTCAAGTCATTAGGCTCCTGCACCCACGTGGGAACCCAGAAGACACTTCTGGCTCCTGGTTTCAGATTGGATCAGCTCTGGTCTTTGTGGCCATTTCAGGAGTGAACCAGCAGATGGAAGATCTTTCTCTCTGTAAATCTGCCTTTCTAATAAAAATAAAACCTTAGAAGAAAGAAAGAAAAACTGATGTTAGAAAACATTTTTTAGGGCCTGGCGCGTGGCCTAGCAGCCAAAGTCCTCACCTTGAACGCGCCGGGATTCCATATGGATGCTGGTTCTAATCCCGGCAGCTCTACTTCCCATCTAGCTTCCTGCTTGTGGCCTGGGAAGGCAGTCGAGGACGGCCCAATGCTTTGGGAGCCTGCACCTGTGTGGGAGACCTGGAGGAGGTTCCTGGCTCCTGGCTCCTGGCTTCGGATCAGCACAGCACCAGCCATTGTGGGTCACTTGGGGAGTGAATCATCGGATGGAAGATCTTCCTCTCTGTCTCTCCTCCTCTCTGTATATATAAATAAAACTTAGGAAAAAAAGAAAGCAAGCATTTTTTTAGAAAGAAAACCTCCCATGCCGTGTGATACGATGCATGAGGGAGGCCCGACCGCTCTTCTGCCATGATCGTGACAAAAGATGTGCAACCTCAGTGTAACGATAAAACATCAGAAAATCCCAAAGGAACATTTTGCCAAAAAAATGTCTAATTTTTTTTTTTTAATTTTTAAAAAACTGTTTATTTGAAAGAGTGACAGAGCAGTTTTCCATCTACTGCTTCACAAATGGCCACAGTGGCCAGCATTGGACTCAGTGCCAGGGCCCTAGGCCTGGAGTTCCTGCAGGTCTCCCCCTGGGTGCTAGGCCCGGGAACTTGGGCCTTCTGCTGCTGTTTGGCCAGAGGCTTCAGCAGGGAGCTGCATTGGAAGTGGAAGTGCCTGATCTCAAAGCAGTGCCCACGTAGGAAGCTGCCATCACAGGTAGCAGTTTTAGTTGCTATGCCACAGTGTCCTCTGTAAGGAAGTGGTGCAAGACAAGAATTGTAGAAGATTGACGAGACCCCAGACCAGAAAAGGCATAGGATGGATGGTTGGCAGAATTCAAATAAGTTTGATAGGTTCATTAGTTTCTTGATTTAGAATAAATATTTGGGCCCGGCGCGGTGGCGCAAGTGGTTAAAGGTCCTCACCTTGCACGCCCGGGATCCCATATGGGCGCCGGTTCTAATCCCGGCAGCCCCGCTTCCCTTCCAGCTCCCTGCCTGTGGCCTGGGAAAGCAGTTGAGGACAGCCCAAAGCTTTGGGAACCTGCACCCGCGTGGGAGACCCAGAAGAGGCTCCTGGCTTCGGATCGGCATAGTATCGGCCCGTTGCGCTCACTTGGGGAGTGAATCATCGGACGGAAGATCTTCCTCTCTGTCTCTCCTCTCTGTATATCTGCCTTTCCAATAAAAAATAAAATAATAAAAATAAATCTAAAAAAAAAAAAAAAAAAAAAAAAAGAATAAATATTTGTACTATGATTATGTAGGATTTTACCAGTACTGGGTGAAAAGTGCAGGAACTGTACTATGATACATTTTTGTAATTTCAAAATGAAGCTTGCTTTTTTTTAAAAAAAATATCTTTTTATTGGGGAGGCAGATTTACAGAGAGAAATATCTCCTATTCCACTGTTCAGTCCCCAGATGGCTGCAATGGCCAGAGCTGAGCCCATCAGAAGCCAGGTGCCGGTGCTTCCTACGTGGCTGCAGGGGCCAAGGCCTTGGGCTGTCCTCTGCTGCTGTCCAGACACACACGCAGGGAGCAGGATCGGAAGTAAAGCAGCCGACACAAACCAGCACCTGTGTGGGATACTGGTGCTTATAGGTAGCGGATTAGTTAACTGAGCTACCACACTGTCCCTAAACTAGTTATTTTTTTAAAAAAATCCTCGGTTTGCACCGAGTTGGACTCAGCAAATAAGCACTGTGAGACGTGAGCTGGGCAGGAGAGTGTCTGCTGTGTCTAGCCGAGATGTGTGGTAGCTAGAGAAGAGTGGGCTGGCCCTTCTTAGCAAAGGAATGGTCCTTGTAAAACAAATATGTAACTATACTTGTTGCAGGTTACATGGAAATGTTTCCTTTCTGTTTTTTGTTTGATTGTTTTGTTTTTGATTCTACCAGTTAAAGCAATAAACTTAATTTTCTGCCATGTGTACAATTTTCCCAAGAAAATGTCTCTCCCCTCCAAATTAACCAGTTTCTTTCCTCCTCTGTAGAGTTTCAGTCTGCCTTCCGAGCACAGGGGCCCCTGGCGGTCCTGGAACACTTCGATACCATCTATAGCATTTTACAGTAAGTGCAGCACCCAACACCCAGCCGACACTTTTCCAAAGAACTGGTGGCCCTCTGTCCTGCCCCTGCATGGCAGTGCAGGAATTCCCCGTCCTGAGTGCCCTGATAAATGCTCCCACGTGCAGGTATCTGTACTGATTAGCATCTGCCCAGTTTCCTGCAGTATGTGTTCAGTTGAGCAATTTCACATGACTTTTTAAGTGTGAAACTCCATGGGTTAGCTCTGAACTTCAGCGTGGGCTCCGCGGGTCGCCATCTCTCACTCACTCCCATACTTTTTTTCCTTCGCAGTCACTTTCGAAGTGTAGATGCTGACCTGAAGGAGGATACTCTGGAGCTCCTGATGAAAGGTGCTCTGGGGTCGTGGGCTGGGGAACTAAGGGTGTCTGATGTCTGCGGGTTGCCGTTCCTCCGACTTGTCAGCCACGTGATGATATCAAGGCTGTTGTGATTCAGTTGGCTTGGCTAAGCCCTAGGGCCCCTGACATCTGAAGGTCTGTAATCTTGGTGGGCGATACAGAGCAGTGTCCGTCCGCTGTAAGGGCAGACCGACAGAAATGGCTTCCTGCTTTGGAGCTAATCTCTCTGACAGAGGTCACTCTTCCGGTTGCTGGGGAGAATTGTGGTAACTGGAGTAAGAGAGCAGGGACAGGGCACATCTCGTCATCTGGAGTCAGGGGTCTCTGAGGACTTAGCTTATTATCACGGCCACTGAGAGATGAAACACAGATCTTTGGTAATCTGATGGCTGCAAGAGCTGGGTGGTGTCCAGTTAGAGAGCAACGGGAAAGCAAATGGAACCGACTCCGGGCTTCTCTCCCCACGCAGTGGTGTCCCGCCACTCCCAGGAGCTTCCAGCCGTCTTGGATGATGCCTCTTTGAGTCAATCAGATCGCAGCAGCCATCTGAACGCCCTGAAAATGAACTGCTATGCTCTGATCCGCTTTCTGGAGTCTTTTGAGACCATGGCCAGCCAGACAAACCTCATGGACCTGGAGCTTGGTGGGAAGGTAGCTTGGGGTCCTGCCTGGCTCCCTTCTTCTGTCTAGGAGCAGAGGGGAATTGAGCATAAAGAAGACAATCTGATGATTTCAAATCACTTAGTCCTTTTCTGGGGTTTAGAAGAAGATACCCCGAAACACAGTCCCTGTGTTTCCTTCTGTGACAGGTAGCTCCTGTTGGGACTGTGGTACTTGCCCTGTGTTGCTGTCTGCCTTGCCTCGAGATTGTGTAGTTTGCACATTCAGGCCAATAGAACTTGGCCAACTGTGTTTCCTTGTTTTGTTTTGTTTGTTTGACTTTGAATGTATATGTGATCCTTTTTAGGGTAAGAAAGCCCGGAACAAGGCAGCCCAAGGCTTTGACTGGGAGGAGGAGAGACAACCTGTTCTTCAGCTTCTAACACAGCTGCTTCAGTTAGATATCCGTCACCTGTGGAATCACTCAATAATCGAAGAGGAGTTTGTCAGGTAGGAGTTAGGACGCCACAGCTAAGCCAGGGCTGAGAAGGCTCTGCTATCTGGTACACCTTTTATTTATTTACTTTTCTTTCGCTTTTTAAAGATTTATTTTATTTTTATTGGCAAGGCAGCTTTACAGAGAGAAGCAGAAACCAAGAAAGATCTCCATCCACTGGTTCACTCCCCAGACGGCCACAACCAGAGCTAAGCCGATCCAAAGCAAGGAGCCAGGAGCTTCTTCCTGGTTTCCCACAAGGGTATAGGGTCCTAAGGCCTTGGGCTGTCCTCAACTGCTTTGCTAGGCCAAAAGCAGGGAGCTGGATGGGAAGTGGAGCCAGCAGGGCCATGAGCTGGCACCCATATGGGATATTGCACTTGGACATGGAGGATTAGCCAGTTGAACTATTCTTGGCCCCCAGACACACATTTTAGATATTTCTGTTGCCTCAGCTCTGCCTATAGTGCACATGAGTGTCACAGCATGAGGTTATTAGCAAGTAGATAACAGCATGTTGATGACTGGTGGTCGTTTTTCCTTTCTAATGCCCATTTGCTCGAGAGGCAGTATTCACTAAAAAATCTCCGTGGCATGTGGCTGCCATCATGATGTAAACAGAAGTACTTGTTGCTTCACCTCAGAGTTCGTATCACATAGCAGAAGATAAATTTTGAAATAAAATCTATAGTATGTTTTATACTTTATTACTGTGAAGTAAAATAAGAGGTGGAAATTTGGTGCCAGAGTATTAAGATTTTATTATATGTTTTGATGATTTATTTATTTGTGAGGCCAGTGTTGTTAACATACATGATTTGAGTTGCTTTTTAAATGTCTAAGAAACATTAGATTCAGCCGTTGGCTGTGCTGACTTAGAGTTCAGGACAGACACCTGGGACATTTGGGGATATAACATTTAGAGCCATATGGCCCCCAGTTTGTGTCCTGGCTGCTCTGCTTCCCATCCAGTTCCCTGCTTGTGGCCTGGGAAAGCAGTGAAGGGTGATTGGGGTCTCTGGGCACTTGCAGCCATGTAGGAGACCCCAAAGAAGTTTTGGGTTTTGGGCCAGCTCAGTTCTGGCCATTGTGGCCATTTGGGGAGTGCAGCTGACAGAAGAGTTCTCTCTCTTTCCCTGTAAATCTGCATCTCAAGTTAAAATGCATAGATTTTTAAAAGGGGGGTGGGTTATGGAACTGAAATGGGTGGATCAGTAAGCATACCAGAAAGAGACTGGAAGTGTAAGAACTGTTCCCTGAGGCGCAGCAACGTTCAGAGGGTGAGGAGTCGAGGATGGGGAGGGTGAGGCGCCCAGGGTGCTGAGAGGGCAGTGTGGAAGCCAGGTGAGGCCTGTGTCTTAGGGAAACTGATGCTTTGGAGCACGTGCAGCTGTGAGGTCAGGGGTGTCGGTGACTTGACGCTGTCAGCATTCATTTTTGTTCTGTGTTATGTCATAACTGGTGAAAAGTGGTAATTTTTAAAAATCATTTGTGTTTTGAGTCAGAGTTACAGGGAGTGAGACCTAGCCATTGCTTCACTCCCCAAGTGGCTGCCATGGCCAGGGCTGAGGTAGGCCAAAAGCAGAAACCGAGAGCTTCATCTGGGTTTCCCACATGGGTGGCAGGGACCCAGGCACTTGGGCCATCGTCTCTTGCCTTCCCAAGCCATTATCAGGGAGCTGGATTGGAAGGGGCAACAGTTAGGACATGAACTGACACCCAGTTGGGATGCCCATGTTTCAGGCAGTGAGCTCACCCGCTGTGCCACAATGCTGGACCCCGAAGGTGGTAATCTTGAGGGCAGGACTGCTGGGGTCAGCAGAGCAACTTGGTACAGAAGGCAGCTGGATGAAGAAAATAAGAAGACTCTGACTTTGGGGGACTGCAATATTAGAACCGTGCCCCAATGTGAGTCCAAGTGGCTGATGGGGTCTTCTCGTTCTCTGCATTCTCCAGTTTGGTCACTGGCTGTTGCTACCGCCTCCTAGAGAACCCCACCATCAGTCACCAGAAGAACCGGGCCACCCGGGAAGCCATCACACATCTGCTCGGTGTGGCCCTGACACGTTATAACCATATGCTCAGTAAGTTCTCCCTCCACCTGCCCGGCCCCGCCGTCAGCATTTTGTCCATCAGTTCTCACGTGATGCCTCCGCAGGTGCCACAGTGAAGATCATCCAGCTGCTGCAGCACTTTGAGCACCTGGCACCCGTCCTGGTGTCAGCTGTGAGCCTGTGGGCAACAGATTATGGAATGAAGAGCATAGTGGGAGAGATTGTAAGGTGACTCTTCCTCCTCAGGGCTAATTCTTATTTTCCTTGGGGGAGGGGTCAAGAAAGATGAGCAATACGTCCTCCGTGCCGCAGTGGGTTTCTCTGGGTGCTAGCTGCCCGGCTTCCCTCTCCTCGCTGAGCTGTGGTTTTCTTCTTTGTGCAGGGAGATTGGACAGAAATGTCCCCAGGAGCTGAGTCGGGACCCTGCAGCGACAAAGGGCTTCGCAGCCTTCCTGACTGAGCTCGCAGAACGCGTCCCAGCTGTCCTCATGTCCAGCATGTGCATCTTGCTAGATCATCTGGATGGAGAGGTGGGTCAGCCCTGGGAGCGAGCTTCATTCTTGAAAGGCTGTTTCTTTATTTTAACTTTTAAACGTTGTTTGGAAGGCTAAGAGAGAGACTGATGTCCATGTACTGATTCGCTCCCTAAATGCCCACGACAGCCAGGCCGGAGCCAGGGCCGAGGGCTCCGAGTGCACCTCCTGGGTTACGTGGGTGACTGGTACCTGAGCCATCACCTGCCACCTTCCAGGGTGTGCATGACAGGAAGCTAGAATTGGCAGCAGTGCCAGAACTTGAACCCAGGTACCCTCCTGTGGGATGCAGGTGTTGCAAGCAGTGATTTAACCTCTGTGTCGAACAGCCAACCCATCTCTTTCTTACAGGATGAGAGGGTTTTCACAGGCGGAAAATTGTTCAGTCTTATCGTGGGGGCAGTTACTGTTGGCAGAGAAATAGCTCAGGTTTATCAAGAAAGGAGCCCTTAGTAACCTTGTTAGTGTTACACTGGTTTCTATCCAGTTCTGGAGGGAGAAACAGCAGCTGCACAGCCTAAGTCTGATGAAAGCGCCTCGGCTTTGATGCCAAGTTCCCCCCTTCCTCAGAATGAAGCCTCCTCCTGCCTTCTGCAAACCCAGCCCAGCCCCAGATGTTGCGGACATTTAGCGAGTGAATCAGCAGATGAGAGCTCTCTCTACTTGCCTCACTGCCTTTCAAATCAATAAATAACTTTATAGAAAGAATCTTGGATGAAAGGTGCCAGTACATGCTTCTGGCATGTGTGTTGGTAGATGAATGTGATTCCGTATTCAGGTACCACCATGCTTCCCCTGTGAGCTTCCAGGGACCTGATTTGAACTTTGGTTTTTGGCCCCACATTCTCCTCTGGGCAGACAAGTTTGTACGATTCAGCTGTGAATATCTAGGCCATTGAGCAGAAAGGTCATAGCCAAGCACAAGCGAGTTTAACCTGGACTACAGGCCTTGCGCCCTCCTTGTGCCTGGATGGGCCCAAGAGTTTCAGGCCAGGAGAGTTTCCACTGGAGAGCAGAGGCTGGTACCAACTGGATTTCTCTCTCCTAGAATTACGTGATGCGCAATGCTGTGCTCGTAGCCATGGCCGAGATAGTCCTGCAGGTTCTGAATGGCGATCAGCTGGAAGAAGCAGCCCGAGAAACCAGGGACCAGTTCTTGGACACGCTGCAAGCCCACGGCCATGACGTCAACTCCTTTGTGCGGAGCCGCGTTTTGCAGTTGTTCACCCGGATTGTGCAGCAGAAGGTGAGCAGGCTTCGTGTGCAGGCCACAGCGGGCAGAATTGCATCCCCACAGAGGAGGAGCCTGGAATTCACTGCCGGCAGGGATGCGCGTTTCCGTTCCAGGCCTATAACCTGTCTTACCACCCCCCCCCCCAGGCCGCTGCACCTGTTCTGTATCCCTCAGAGAGGTCTTCACAGTGAACACATCACTGTATGGAGAGTGTACTTTCAGATCACCTTCAGCAGCATGCATTCTTTGAGATGGCAACTGATGCTCCTCTCCCTCTGCCCCGCAGGCCCTGCCCCTGAACCGTTTCCAGGCTGTGGTGGCCTTAGCAGTGGGGCGTCTGTCAGACAAGTCAGTGCTAGTGTGCAAAAGTACCATCCAGCTGCTGGCCAGTTTTCTAGCCAATAATCCCTTTTCCTGCAAGGTAAGTAGGCTGGATCTCTCTAAAAGACCAAGAATTAGCTAAAGGATGACATTATGTCCCTTAGTGACACTCGTACTCATTTTACCTGGGTAGCTTAGTGATACCGACCTGGCTGGACCACTGCAGAAGGAGACCCAGAAATTACAAGAGATGAGAGCCCAGAGGCGCGCTGTGGCTGCTGGTAAGTGTGTTCTCCCTGGCCATGCTCTCCCCGTCAGCCTTTTCCCCCCGCAGCTCCAGGAGGGCAGACTAACGGAGACTGTCCTTCAGCTGTGGTGTTAGACCCCGAAGAGGAGTGGGAGGCCATGCTACCGGAGGTGAAGTGCACCCTAAAACAGCTTCTTGAGCTTCCCCCGGAGGAAGAGGAGGCGGCTGCTGAGCAAGTTGCCAGCACTGAGACTGCTGAAGAGGTGGAGAGACGCATCCAGCAGTTGCTCACCAAAGCCAGTTACAAGTATGTGGAGGAGTACATATGCTGTGTTTGTGCTTACACTTGGCCTTGAGGATCTGACACAAAAGGTTACTTTCCAATGAGCTGTACTTAGGCATGTTGGCCACCAGGTGATAGTGTTTTCATTATAGTAATGGTCTGATCAAGACATGGACTTGCTTTTCTGCTTCTATAAATGTTTAGAAAGAGGATTAATACAACTGAATGTAAGTAAACTTAAGTCACCCCTCATTGGCAGACAAATCCTATAGGTAGAATTCTGTTTGTGTAATCTTAAGTAGCGTGCTTGATTTTCTGGGCTTCAGTTTTGCTCTCTGTAAGAGCAAGATGTTCATGAACTTGGATGATCTCTAACGACTTCCCAGCTTTGAACCCTGGTATGAGTCCTGATCCTGGAGAGAGGATTTCTCCCCTTTTTTATGACTGGAACTTAGCAACTGAAGTCATTCGAGCTTCCCTTAGGCTTCAACCACAAGTTCCTTAGCTACTCAGCCTGTTGAGGGGTTGGCTGGCCGCTTGCTGGTTCTGTTCTTTCCCCAGTGCCTTTTATTTTTACCAGAGCATAAACTGATATTTATTACTAGAGCTTCCTTCTTCCTCCAAGCATTCTAGTATTTTCTGCTTTCAAATGACAGAAGATTTCTTTTCATGTTAAAGCTGTCAACCCTGGAACAGGTTGTTATATAGCAGATTAAGCTGCCACCTTGCAATGCCAGCATTCTACATGGGTGTCTGTTCATGTCCAGCGGCTGCGCTTCCAGTCCATCTCTCTGCCAGTGGCCTGGGAAAGCAGGGGGAGAGGATGCAGGGGTTTGAGTCCCTCCATCCCGCATGGGAGATCTGTGTGGAACTGCTGGCTCCTGGCATCAACCTGGCCTAGCACTGATCATTGAGTCCTGAACCAGCAGGTGGAAGATCTCTCTTTGTCTGTGTTTCTGTCCCTGTAACTCTTTCAAAATTAAAAAGATAATAATAATAAATTTATTTTTTTTTGTTACAGAATATGAAAATATAAATTTAATATGGCTTTGGCTCAATATAGTTTCAATTCCACAAATGGAATAGATGTTGTTCAATTCTCTTGTTTTGGACTTAAACAAGTTTTTCAATATTCCATTTGAATTACATCAACATTATATATATATATATATATATATATATATACACACACACATACATATATAAAGTAATCTTATAACCCCATATGTTTCATTTGATAGGCATTGTTTTCTTTTTTTTTTTTTTCTTATTGTATAGTCTTTCAAATTTTAATAGAATATTCTTTTTTTTTTTTTTTTTTTTTTGCCCAAGGGTGTGTGACCTAGGCAACTCAACAAGAATCCATCTGGAGGGTTCAGCAGGTTAAGTTGCTGCTGGCGACACCCGCAATAATAATAAATTTAAAAGCCCCACCTCCTTCAGAAATATAGTTATAGTAGATATTGGGTGAAGTTCTTAATGACTAAAATTTTTGTCCCATAGCAGGCAGCTTTTCCTCTGCTATTTGCATGATTTGCTTTAAGTTTGTCTAACATTTATGGCTTCTCCCTAAAGCACTTTGGGCAGCTGATGGTACCAGATTGTCTTGCCCGTTTTACAGGTAAGGAAACAGAGCTCATGGAGTTAGGTGGCTTCCCTGTCACAGTCAGAGCTAGTGAGCAGCAGAACTGGGCCCAAGGCCTTGCATTACAACCTCGAGTGGTTTGGGTTCAAATTGCCTTTTTCTTTTTAAAGAGCAAGAGACAGAAAGATATTCCATCTGCTGGGTCACTCCGCAAATGGTCCCATTGGCCAGGGCCGGGTCAGGCTGAAGCCAGGAGCTCCTCCACATGGGTGTCGAGGCCCAAGGACTTAGGCCATCTTCCGTTCTTTCCTTTATCCAATCATAACATTTACAAACTTCCTGCCTTCCTCTTAATTCAGACTTTACCTAACAAAAGTGGGTAAGTAAGCTCTAAAAGAAAAAAAAGAAGTAATTTTTTTTATACCTTGAACCAGTAAGATAAACAAGCTAAAATGCTGTTTAACCTGCCCCTCTGAGGTAATCAATGTGCAGCACATCAGGATGGGTTGAATTTGGTTGGAGTGTCCACATCAGTCATTCCTGGGCAAATCACACTGTCCACCCCTCGTAGCTTCTATAGACAGACCGTATTTTCAGTTGCTTTATGTATTCATCTCTTCTCTGCATCCATACCTCTCCCTGGAAGCTCGCTCCGAGGGGTGTACTCAGTGACAGCCTTGGTGCCTCCAGCACAGCGTGCTCGGCCAGCTGTCCCTGCCGCAGAGCCGTTAAGATCTTCCTGAATGCAGCGGTGGAGCACTCTTGCGACATGCCAGGCAGGATGCCATGCCGGTGATGCACTCAAATATGTTGCTGATGAGTGAGCTTATTCTCGTCATACCCATGGCCTTGGACAAGAGGCCAGTGTCGGGCGCACCTACCTAAGCGAGACAGAGAAGCTGTCCTCATAGCTGTGCTTACACTTTTTACTGTGCTTTTGTGCTGTCGTCACCACCTTCTTGGGGCCTCTTGGACTTGAGCATTGTGATGCTAAATATCACAGCAGTAACAACACCTGCACTAACAATCCTGCGCTCCCCCCTCCCAACCCCATCATGAACAGAGCTGAATCAAAAATGGAGCTGCCAGGACTCAAACTGGTGTGCCTAGTGGATGCTAGCATCACAGGGTGCAGCTTAACCGGCTGTGCCTCGACACAGCTCCACAGTTATGTCAGTGGTTTAGACACACACACACACACACACACAACTGCTTTGTTATTTTTTTGTGGCTACATAGAATGTGATTAGCCAATTATTTAGTTAATTTTCTTAACTTTCAATTGGATAAGTTTTTGAAACAGGTTATTTGGGTAATTTTGTGATTTTGAAACTTTTAAAAGGTGGAACTGGTATTTAGCCTAGCAGTTGTGACTTAGCATCCCATGTAAAAGTTCCTGGGTTCTATTCCTGACTCCAGCTCCTAACTCTAGCCTCCTAATCTGTTTTTGTTTGTTTAAATTTGAGTGAGCGAGAACCCTCATCGACCAGTCCTCCCGCCCAGCAGCTGTATTGGCCAGGGCTGGGCTGGTCAGGGGTCAGGCACTCCGTGCGGGTCTCCTGATGTGGGGCAGCACTTGGGCCATCACCTGCTGCCTCCCAGGAAGCAGGAGTCAGGAGCTGGGACTCAGACCCAGCTACTCCGACATGAGACGAAGGCGACCTCAGACAGTGCCTGGCCTTGTCTCTCCATAGCCGGGGGCTTTGTGGCCCCTTGGTGGCAGTGTCCTTTTCTTTGGGCACAGGTCCTGTAGCCCTGTGGAATCCTGACCACAGGCTACAGGGGCTCTGTGAGGCGGTGACGGGCTCGTGTTCTTTCAGGCAGGCTATCCTCCTCGCTCGTGAAGCCATGGGCCGCTTCCCCGAGTCGGGGCCCTTCAGTCGTGTGGAGCCGGACGATGCTGAGGAGACCAGGGTCCTGAATCTCTTGTCACTTATCTTCAAAGGTAATGCCTGTGCTGCTGCAGACAGCACGGCGGTTAGTGCGTTTTGGGCGTTCTCTCTGGCCTGGCCAGCGGCCTACTGGAGAAAGGCCGGGGGACATTGGCAGTGCATTGGCTCTGGGGTGAAAACAGCCGCAAATCTTGGATCGACAGTCACGGGCGACTATCCTAACTGTGTATGGCTTTACATGATCTTTCTTGAAGAATACTTGAGCCCGGCACGGTAGCCTAGTGACTAAAGTTCTTACCTTACACATACCTGGATCCCGTATGGATGCCCCACTTTCTGCTTCCCATCCAGCTCCCTGCTTGTGGCCTGGGAAAGCAGTCGAAGTGGCCCAAAACCTTGGGACCCTGCACCTGCATGGGAGACCCAGGAGAAGCTTCCCGGCTTTGGCTCAACTTTGGCCATTGCGGCCACTTTGGGGAATGGATCATCAAACAGAAGATCTTCCTCTCTGTATATCTGACTTTCCAATAAAAATAAATCTTTAAAAGAAAAACAGAAGGAAGGATAATGCTTTAGAGTAGGTTCTAATTTTGTTTCTCCACAGTGTGGGAGAAAGGGATGTCGATGGATATTGGATTTCCTCATTACCTTTGAACAAAACCACCCGAACTCTAGGCCTTCTCTAACTCTAGGCCCTGCAACTTGCAAACAGAAGACTCCCCAGGCACCTGCAGGGAACGCAGTCGCAGGGCAGCCCGAGTGCACAGATGAGCCGCGTGCCCCTGAGCCGGAGCAACCAACCCGGGCAGACGATGAACTGGTGAAGCAGGAGATGCTGGTGCAGTACCTGCAGGACGCCTACAGCTTCTCCCGGAAGATCACGGAGGCCATCGGCGTCATCAGCAAGATGATGTACGAGAACACGAGCACAGGTGCTGCAGGCCCTCTCCGAGGCCTGGGGCTTGGGGGGAGGCCCAGCCCTGTGTGCTTTTCCATGGTAATCTGCTTCTTTCCGAGGCCAGTCTTGTTGTATTTGCTGCTCTCTGGGCCCCTTGTGGCTTGTGTAGTGTAACGTAGGGGGTGTTTCTGGAGGAAGTCGGCCTTCTTGGGGTAACAGCAGATTCTGGGTTTAGGTGTTAGGAGAGTATTGCCAAGTAGATGGGTGACATTTGTGTCTGTCCTCCCAGTGGTGCAGGAGGTGATTGAATTTTTTGTGATGGTATTCCAATTTGGGGTACCCCAGGCCCTGTTTGGGGTGCGCCGCATGCTGCCTCTCATCTGGTCCAAGGAGCCTGGAGTCCGGGAAGCTGTGCTTAATGCCTACCGCCAGCTCTACCTCAACACCAAAGGGGACTCTGCCAGGTGCGTGGAGGGCAGCTTCCCCTGCTGACTGCAAGGTCAGCCTCGCAAATTGGACTTTCGTGGGGAGGGGGCTTCCCCACGCAGATCTGCACCGGGGCGCAGACCGAGCTGCGATTCCAGGAGAACCATCCCAAGCCTTGGCCTGGTGCCAGCGTGGCAGAACTCTGTGCCCCCTCAGCTGATGCCTTTGTGTGACCCCATCTCTGTCCCCTCAGAGCCAAGGCCCAGGCTTTGATTCAGAACCTCTCCCTGCTGTTGGTGGATGCCTCCGTGGGGACCATTCAGTGTCTCGAGGAAATCGTAAGTCTCCTCACTTGAACTTTGTGTATTAGCAAGGTGTGCTGGGCCTTCAGCACCAATCAGCCCTGCTGCAGGGCGAGGCTGTTTGCTTTCATGGGCCCAGGTTTAAAGGAAGCAACAACCCAGCTTAAAAATGTTTCTTTTTTTCTTTTAAGATGTGTTGTTTATTTTTATTGCAAAGGCAGATCTACAGAGAAAAGGAGAGACAGAGAGATCTCTGTCCACTGGTTCACTCCCCAAGTGGCCACAATGGCCAGAGCTGAGCCTATTCAAAGCCAGGAGCTTCTTCTGGGTCTCCCATGTAGGTGCAGAGTCCCAAAGACTTGAGCCAGCCTCTTCTGCTTCACTACAAGGAGAGAGCTAGATGGGAAGTAGAGCAGCCAGGACACAAAATGTTGCCCATATGAAATCTCTGCGCTTGAAAGGGGAGGATTGGCTAAGTGAGCCATTGCAATGGACCCCAGAAAACAACATTTCTCAGCCAGTGCAACAGGTAGACTAGTAAGTGCCAGAAGGAGTGGCACAGGTAAAGATCGTAATGTGATCATTGTATCATAGTGACAACACTTGTAAGGTATTTACATGCCAGGCACTGATCTGGTTTTTTAGACTTTTTTGTTGGAAGATCCCATTCAAAAGAAGCAAGTAAATTAAGAATTGGTTGTTCCAACCTGTGTCTTAGCCACTGCACCAAACTCCTACCCCCTCAAGCATTGTACATATGTTATTGGGTTTAGTTCTCACAACAGCCACATAGGGTCTTGCTACCTGCTGCTGATACGAAGACAACTAAAAATCTAAAGCTCAGGGAGGTTGTGGAACTTAGCTAGTAGAGACAGGTAGTTAGTGGCAGAGTTTGAGGCTTGAAGTCAGACAAGAACTCCAGAAAACACACTCGGCTTCTGGGAGGGCGGAATCACAGAGAGTTAAATCCTCACCTTGCATCCACCAGGATCCCATATGGGTGCCAGTTCGTGTCCCAGCTGCTCCACTTCCCTTCCAGCTCCCTGCTTGTGGCCTGGGAAAGCAGTGGAGGACGGTCCAAAACTTTGGGACCCTGCACCCTGGCTCCTAGCTTCGGTTCGGCTTAGCTCTGGCTGTTGTGGCCATGTGGGGGAGTGAACCAGTGGATAGAAGATCCTTCTCTCTGTATCTCTTCTCTGTATATCTGTCTTTCCAGTAGAAGTAAATCTTTAAAAAAAAAAAAAGGGGGGGGGAAGAAAGAATAAGAGATCAAATTGAGGTGGAATGGCCAGGGACAGCTTCTTGAAGGTGGCAAGGTTTCGGTGAGGTCTTGGACAGGGTTCCCAGAGGTACCCAAGAGGGAGAGCGCTTCCAACAGGAACCCAGCAGAGGCTGGCCCTTGTTCAGGAGGACGTGTTGCTTCTAGCAAAGACTGCTATCTAGAAGAGATAATACAGTTCAGAATAAAAGCTGAAACTGAACCATGAGGTCCCTGAACCCCTTTAGAGTCTAGGACTTTGACCTTGTCAGCCAGGGATCCCAGCGTTTCGGATAGGCCTGCCTGCTTTGGAGCAGCCGTGCTGTGGGATCCAAAGCAGAGGAGGTGCCAAGCATCCCTGCCTCCCGCCAGCCACCTTTCTCTCCTTCCTCACTGGGGAATGGGAAGAGCCTGATGAGGGCGGGTGGTCCAGGAGTTCATGGGCTGGCTGCTAGTCAGGACCCCTATGGTAGAACAAGGAGAGTAATTACTGTAGAGTGTGAAAAAGATCAGACCAGACCCAAGTGTAGGATGTAGGTGGAGTCTTTACAGCACAAGCTTGGTGACAGCAGCTCCTGGCCCACTGTTGCAGAAGTCCGAATACTCCAGTCAGATTGAGAGCACTTCAGGAAAAACAAAGTTTCCACGCATTCAATTTACTAAGTGGAGGCAGGAAGGGAACTAGGGGAGTCCAAGTTTCCCGGTAGTTTTATTAATCCAAAGTAGCACAGTAGGAGGCATCAGGGACTAACCAGGTGTATGGCGCCTGCTGAGCCATTTCTGCAGCTAGCAGCTGCACCCTTCCGGGTGAAGCATGTCGGGGGCACTAACCCAACAGCAGCGGCCAGGCTGGGAGGCTGGGGACATGACCCGAAGGCTGCTGGAGATGTGCAGTGACAGGGACTGGACAGAGCTGTTCTTAAAGGAAGACAAATTTTAAAGGCAAACTTGAATAGATGGTTCCTGAAAATTAGCTAACTGGAATAGGCATTGTGGCACAGCAGGTTAAGCTGCCAAGTAGAATACTTGCATCCCATATTGGAACATTTGGCCTCCGCTTCCAATCAGGCTTTCTGCCCGAGATGTACCTCCGCAGGCCCCTACACTTGGCACCTCCTTCTTGCTGTCACCTTCCTAAGGATTGCTTGCATCACTTCAGGTCATCAGCAGTGTCTCAGAGATGGGGCCCAAGGATTGGGTAATCCATTCGGGTTGGGCCTGAACAGTTGTCACTCTCCCTCACAGATTTGCGAGTTTGTGCAGAAGGATGAGTTGAAACCAGCAGTGATCCAGCTGCTGTGGGAGCGGGCCACGGAGAAGGTACCCTGCTCTCCTGTGGAGCGCTGCTGCTCCGTCATGCTGCTTGGCATGATGGCACGGTGAGGCCGGCTCAGGGGCCATCGGGCGGACTAGAGGGGGGCGTTTTGGGCAGGTTCCAGCACCACCTGCAGTGAAGGCCTGCAAGCCAGGCTCCCTGCACGGGAAGCAGAGCGGCAGCACCCTGCCTAGTGAAAGTAGTCTTACAAAGGGGATTCAGAGGCTGCCCAGTATAGGGGGCTGGTATGTCCTTCCATTGGCCCTTGTCCCCCACACTGTCCTCTTCTGGGTTGCCTTTGACTCTTGTCTCCCTTCCCCCAGAGGAAAACCAGAAATCGTGGGAAGCAACTTGGACACCCTGGTGAGCCTCGGGCTGGAGGAGAAGGTCCCCCAGGACTACCGTCTAGCCCAGCAGGTGTGCTACGCCATCGCCAACATCTCAGATAGAAGGAAGGTGCGTAGGGGTGGTTCCGTCCATGCCCAGCATGGTGGGGCTCCCTCAGTCGCCCTCTGCTCAGAGCCACAGCCACCTTCTGTCTGTCTGGTTTCCTCAGCCTTCTCTGGGCAAACGTCACCCTCCCTTCCGACTGCCCCAGGAGCACCAGTTATTTGAACGGCTGCAGCAGATGATCATAAAAGGTAGGCTAGCAGGACAACTGCTGGGCGGAACTGGACCCCCGTTTGCAGTGACCAACTTCCCCTTCTGCTCCCTGCAGGCTTCATGTACCCGGACCCCCTCTGGATCCCATTCAAAGAGGTGGCAGTGGCCCTCATTTACCAGCTGGCCGAGGGCCCCGAGGTGATCAGCGCCCGGATACTGCAGGGCTGTGCGAAGTTGGCCCTGGAGAAACTAGAGGAGAAAAGCTCATCTCAGGAGGACCAGAGTGAGTGAGCAGAGGCCCAGCCAGCCCAGCAGGGAGCAGAAGCCCCTGCCACTAGGGCCCCGCACTGTCCCCTTGCTGTTCCAGCTGAGGGTGGGTTGTCCCTTTGTCCCCACCCCACCTACTGGCTCTGCTGCTTGGGCTCAGACTCCATGGGATCATATTGTGTGATTGCTGCAGAGGAGGCGCCCACGATGCTCCCGACGTTGCTGTTGATGAACCTGCTGTCCCTGGCGGGGGACGTGGCGCTGCAGCAGCTGGTCCACCTGGAACAGGCCGTGAGCGGTGAACTGTGTCGGCGCCGGCTCCTCCGGGAAGAGCAGGAGCACAAGACCAAGGAGCCGAAGGAAAAGGTGACCGAGTCCCAGTTCGCAACCTCAGCACAGGACGGTACCCTCCAGGGACCTCAGCTCCCTGGCCCCAAGGTGAACTGAGCCCTTTGGCTCTTTGTTGCTGCTGCCCTGGACAAGATCGGTGCGACCAGAGAGGAAGCCGACTCGGGGAAATTGGAGGTCTCCATGAAGAGTGACTGCGGCCATGTTTGTGGGCCACTGAGCCTCTTTCCCACCACGTAGGACAGTCTTGTGACCTTGCACTGTTGTCTGGCCTGACCCTTCTGGTTGCCGCAGAATAAGGGTGTCTGTTGCAGGGTTGAGTTAAGTGTAGAAATAGCTGGGTAACCTAGAAGCAAATGTGGGGACCTGGCTCTTACTCGCTTTGATTCAGAGTCCTTTCCTTGAATGATCTGATGCAAGTCAGCTCAGATGTGTTCACGTGAAATGGAGTACGAGGCTGGAAACAAAAATATTGTCTCCAATCCCCCTTGACCCCTCTGCTTTCCTCCACTTAGAACACAAGCTCTGAGACCACCATGGAGGAGGAGCTCGGGCTGGTCGGGGCAACCGCGGATGACACGGAGGCCGAGCTCATCCGCGGCATCTGCGAGATGGAGCTGTTGGATGGTGAGGGAAACAGCTGAGTGCCCCCTGCCCTGCCCAGTGAGATGCCCTGTCCACTACTCAGAGCTGTGCTTCCAACAGGCAAGCAGGTGCTGGCTGCCTTCGTCCCGCTTCTGCTCAAAGTCTGCAACAACCCTGGCCTCTACAGCAACCCAGACCTCATTGCGGCTGCTTCGCTGGCGCTCGGCAAGTTCTGTATGATCAGGTAGGCCCGGGATTGGAGGGTGGCACCTCCTCGGGGATGATGAACAGGACACAGCCTCCCTAATGATCCTCCCCCGGCCCCTAGTGCCACTTTCTGTGACTCCCAGCTTCGCCTTCTGTTCACCATGCTGGAAAAATCCCCACTCCCCACCGTCCGGTCCAATCTCATGGTTGCCACAGGAGATCTGGCCATCCGCTTTCCCAACCTGGTGGACCCCTGGACCCCACATCTGTACGCTCGGTAAGCAATCCCAGCAGTACGCCTGGGGCCCCTCAGAGCTAGGGGCGGGTCTCAGGTTGCTGTGAAGACCACCAACACTTCCCCAAGACCAGCGTCCTTTAGCATCCGCTTGACACTTAAAGGGATCAAAGCTGCTCTGCTTTCCAGCTGCTTCTAGAATGGCATGCCATGGGAGCAGGTTGCTGCTGAGGTCTTTTCCAACCAGTGCTACCATGTAGCCCAGAGGTCTTGGCTCCGGTGACTTGAGGTTTCATTCCTAGTCTGCGGGACCCAGCCCGGCAAGTACGCAGAACAGCTGGGCTGGTGATGACGCACTTGATCCTGAAGGACATGGTGAAGGTGAAGGGCCAGGTGAGCGAGATGGCTGTGCTGCTCATCGACCCCGAGCCGGAGATTGCTGCCCTGGCCAAGAACTTCTTCAATGAACTTTCACACAAGGTGAGCAGTGGGGAGGTGGCTGGGGCTCACTGCCCAGGGTGGATGGAGGTCACCGCTTGTCTTTGACATGACTCTCCTTGCAGGGCAACGCAATCTATAACCTGCTCCCGGATATCATCAGCCGCCTGTCAGACCCCGAGGGCGGGGTGGAGGAGGAGCCGTTCCACACCATCCTCAAGTAGGCTTCATGGGCCCTGGGGCACTTGGCTCACACAGATAACTTAGGAGTCAGCCAACCTGTACCTGAACCCAGCACTCTGCCTTAGCTGTCCAACCCTCAGCAATTGCTTAACCCCTCTCTGCCTGTCTCCTCCTCTGGGTGTTAGGGCTGCTATTCCTGGTCCTTCAGCATCCAGCAATACCCACCAGGAGGTCCTGAGGCAGTAGCAGGTGCCCAGGAACTCCCAGTAGCACCCAGCAGCAGCCCCTCCTGTTCGTTCCCATTTCGGTAGTGGTGGCTGGGAAAGGGGTGAGGGCACAAGGAACAGTGAGGCTGGCCAAGGTCAAGGCAGAGGTGATACAAGAGAGGCAAGGGCCTAATCGAGACAGCTGGTGCTGGGCAGCGTGGGGGGCTGGTCTTGCCTGGCATCACCCACCCTCCCCTCCCCTCTGCACAGGCAGCTGCTATCCTACATCACCAAGGACAAGCAGACCGAGAGCCTGGTGGAGAAGCTGTGCCAGCGCTTCCGCACAGCCCGGTACGCGGCCTTCCCGGGGCGGGCTCTGTGCAGTGGCCTCCCTGGGAACTGCAGGAGAGAGCTGAGCCGAGAGGTTCCACCTGGGCCTCACTGCTGCTCACTCTGCCCTGTAGGACGGAGCGGCAGCACCGGGACCTGGCCTACTGTGTGACCCAGCTGCCCCTCACAGAGCGAGGCCTCCGCAAGATGCTTGACAATTTCGACTGCTTTGGCGATAAACTGTCCGAGGAGTCCATCTTCAATGCCTTCTTGTCAGTCGTGGGCAAACTGCGGCGCGGGGCCAAGCCCGAGGGCAAGGTGCGTGGCCATGCCGGGGACGCTGGGCGGTCACCCCACAGCTGCCGCTGTCCCCCCTCCCTGCAGCTGAGTTGCCAGGATGCTCACACCATATCTCTGTCTCCAATTTCTGTTTCTTTTAAAAAAAAAAATTCTTTTTTACATCAGGCTTATGCTTCAAGCTAAGCCTGCTTGCTTGAATGGCCACACTTCTGCCCCCACACGTGCCCAGCTTCCTGTCACTATCCCACAGAGTAGGACATTGTTACAACTGATGAACTGCATGGATTCTGCAGCTCCTGGGGTACACTGCCTGGGACATGCGCCCCCAAAACCGTGTCCTAGAGGATTGGTTCTGGCCACACGGGTGTCCCTTTGTGTCCTTCCTGTCCCCACCCCTGCACAGCAGCGGCCTCACCAACCACTGGCTCCGCCTCCTTCACGGAGTGACCACAGTTGGGAACTACAGCGTATCATGACCTTTCAGGGACCTTCTTCTTTAGTGTTAGGCATTTAAGTTTCCTCCATTGTCCTTCTGGGTCTTGTTCCTCTTCAGTAGTAAAGTAACTCCTCTCAGGCCTGCTAATCTTCCCCTTCCAGGCGACAATAGATGAATTTGAGCAGAAGCTTCGGGCCTGCCACACCAGAGGCTTGGATGCTGTAGAAGAGCTCGAGCTGGGCCAAGGGGGCAGCCAGAGAGCTCTATCAGCCAAGAAACACGGGCCAGGTACGGCTGCCTCCCCAGGGACAGGGCAGTGATACCACCGAGGCGGCCACACAACGTAGCTCCTTCCGCATCTCCTTGCCCCCCCATTCAGGCCCGAGACCCCAGCCTCCTGCAGCCCCCGACAGTGACTTCATCACACCCGTGTCCCGCCGCACCACCCGCCGGCAGCCCAACACTCAGCAGCGAGCTTTCAAAAAGAAACCCAAAGTGGTCTTCTCCAGCGACGAGGAGTCCAGCGAGGATGGTATGGCACTCCCTCCGGGGGCCCCTGCCTGCAGGTGACCCCAGCCACCCCAGGGAGCCTGTTCCTCAGCCCCCGCCCCTGGACGGCTCCCCCACTTGTTCTCCAAGATGTGTTTTTCACCATCTCCGTGACTCAGCGTTCCCTTACTCCTTGGTTCTGTACAGAGCTGTCAGCAGAGATGACGGAAGACGAGACGCCCAAGAAGACGACCCCCCTGCGCCGACCCACAGCACGCAGGCCCAGGTCCTAGGAGCCGGCCCCCCTGCGCCGACCCACAGCACGCAGGCCCAGGTCCTAGGAGCCGGCCCCCCTGCGCCGACCCACAGCACGCAGGCCCAGGTCCTAGGAGCCGGCCCCCCTGCGCCGACCCACAGCACGCAGGCACAGGTCCTAGGAGCCGGCCCCCCTGCGCCGACCCACAGCACGCAGGCACAGGTCCTAGGAGCCGGCCCCCCTGCGCCGACCCACAGCACGCAGGCCCAGGTCCTAGGAGCCGGCCCCCCTGCGCCGACCCACAGCACGCAGGCACAGGTCCTAGGAGCCGGCCCCCCTGCGCCGACCCACAGCACGCAGGCACAGGTCCTAGGAGCCGGCCCCCCTGCGCCGACCCACAGCACGCAGGCCCAGGTCCTAGGAGCCGGCCCCCCTGCGCCGATCCACAGCACGCAGGCCCAGGTCCTAGGAGCCGGCCCCCCTGCGCCGACCCACAGCACGCAGGCCCAGGTCCTAGGAGCCGGCCCCCCTGCGCCGACCCACAGCACGCAGGCCCAGGTCCTAGGAGCCGGCCCCCCTGCGCCGACCCACAGCACGCAGGCACAGGTCCTAGGAGCCGGCCCCCCTGCGCCGACCCACAGCACGCAGGCACAGGTCCTAGGAGCCGGCCCCCCTGCGCCGACCCACAGCACGCAGGCCCAGGTCCTAGGAGCCGGCCCCCCTGCGCCGACCCACAGCACGCAGGCACAGGTCCTAGGAGCCGGCCCCCCTGCGCCGACCCACAGCACGCAGGCCCAGGTCCTAGGAGCCAGCCCCCCTGTGTCGACCCACAGCACGCAGACACAGGTCCTAGGAGCTGGCCAGCCTGCCCCCTCTCCCTGCTGTGCAGGGTGTCTTATCCAATTGTGTGAGGAGTTAGGGTCCTTTTTATCTCAGAGCCCCCTCCCTCCCGTCACTAGGACGGGAGCCTCTTTTCTCAACTTTTCTAATAAAACTTGCTTTAAAACTAAACTGTCCGCATGAAAATTCTTTCCTGCAAGACAAGAATTGAGGTTGCTGCCCTATTCGGGGTCAAAAAACCTACAACATGATGACCTGGGCTTCCACATCCTTCCCCCTTGTGGAATATTTGCCTGTTTCCTTGATATTTTTTAAATTACTGAAGACTGTTTTCAAAACTCCCAGCCCTGCTGCTAAGCCAGCATGACTGCAGTTGAGCCACTTGCCATTTGCTGACCCCCTTCTTTCCTGATGAATAAACGTGGCTTTTAGACTTTTACATGTTTTTGTTAAACCATCTTTCATTTGTTTCTTTCCCACATCACACTCTGGGGCAGCAGACAGCAGGCCACCAGGCCCAAGAACTGAGTCCCAGTTGTACCCTCAGGCCCCCTCCTCCTCTTCCCACTCCACCTCCTCACGCCAGCACACGTGACAGGATGGCCCCCTGTGGAGGATGCGGCCCAGCCTCGGAGATCAGCTCTACCCCACCTGGGGAGAGCTCAGCTTCCGCCCGCAGCCTGGAGGGAAGGTACTTGGACACATTGTATCTGAGCCCGGGGGGAGGGGTGCTGCCAGCATACAGGGGGCCAAGGCCAGGCTCATTGCTAAACCTCCCTTGCATAGGGGACAGCCAGCACAATTCTTTAGCCCTAAATGTCAATAGTCCTGGGATTGAGAAACCCTGCAGGAGAGCAAGGGTTGTGGCTTGCCCCTCCGTGCCCTTCCCACCCAGCCACCCACCTTGGGTTCCCCATGGCCCTGGCTAGAGCCTAACCAGGCCCTTGGGAGAGCAGGCCACCATCCCTCCAGCTCCAAGAGGCAAGGTCTGTTTCCCCAGGGCTCCATCCTGGTTAGAGTATGCAGCAGGTGCAGCCTGTCCTGTGAAGGGGGATTGGGGGGCCTCAGGAGCTGAGCCCCTGCCCCCGCCCCCACCCACTCAGCTCCCCAGATCTCTGCTGAGTCACCTGCAGCAGTCATGAGCCCACTGATGTTTCTGCTGTCATGACAACCGCAACTGCGTCAGGCGTGCTTGCTGGGCCCTGGACACAGGACAGTAATGAAAAATGACAGGCATGCGGTGCAGAGGCAGCTGGTCCCCCAGAAACCAGCCTGGGGCAGTGCAGGTGCAGGGAGTGGCTCCCAGCCTGGGAGGGGAAAGGGTTAGGGGTCCTGGACAAGCCACTGCAGGGCTGGAATGCGATGAGTCCTCCAAGCGACCTCTGCTTCCCCCACCAGCCTGCAGTACACCACCTCCCACCCCTCCCTACCAACCCGCACTGCACCACTTCCCACCGCTCTCCCTATCTGTGCTGCCTGCCCATGAGAAGGCCAGGCCCTGACCATGCAGATGGCTGTCAGACATGGACAGTCTTGGCTCCAGGACCCAAGGAGAGGGCAATCCCAGAAAGGCAGGGAATGGGGCTGGAATTGCGGTGCTGCACAGCCAGCCTGCTCTCTTCCCTTTTAAGCAAAGGTTATTATCAGGCCGCAGGCTAAACTTAGCCACAGGCTTTTCAGCTAAAAGGGCAGGGGGGCTGGTCTCGGGTTACGCTGGGCCAGCAAAGAGGCTCCAGGATCTCCCCCTCCCCGCCACCTGCTGATGGCCTGATAGCGAGGTCCATTCCACCCCACCCCCTCCCAACCCTTTCATTCCAGTGCTCAGTCCTTCCTCCACCCTCAGGTCAAAAACCTGGCCCAGCCCAAGCTCTAGATTCTTCCACAGAGAGAATGGGACCCTCCCTCTACTTCTGCATAGGAATGAGGAGGGGTCGCTATTCTTGCCTTGTCTCCTTTTCTGCCCTGCCCCCCAACATCCCCTGGGCAGGGCCAGTGAAAGGGACTCCCTGGCTCCCGAGACTGTTGGCACGTCCCTGGGAGGGAGGGACTTCCGCTCTCACGTCCCGCTCCCCGCCTGTAGCTGGAGGGCGCGAGAGGGGTAGTCTCCATGCCGCCGGTCGCCTCTACCCTCGGGTTCCGAGAGCAAGTTTCCCAGCCCCCATCAGTGCGGCTGTCCTCCCCCGGGGGCCCTAGCCCTGGCCTGGCGGGGCGCGGCGCAGGCACACACGGCCTGGATTGTCTGCTCCAATTGTCACATCTCCAGGCTGCCCGGGTTTGCAGGACATCGTGACCTTCTGTGCAAAAAGCCTGCCCCCCTCCAGAGCCTCCTTCCTCGCCAGGCCCCCGCTGCCCAGTGCCCCGGCCAGGTCCCTCGCCCAGTTTGGCCAGCAGCCAGGAAGTCGGGCGGGGGAAGCGGGGCCGCTGGGAAGTCGGCCCGCAGGAGCCACAGTGAGCCATTCGGGATCCTCCCCCCCAACTTGGCTCTTACCCGTGTCAATACCAAAAAGCCCAGAGGAGTAGACCCTCTGCTTTCCCGCCTCCCAGCCTTCCAAAGAACAGAGAAATGGGGAGAGCGTGCTGCCTGGAGGGGACCGGGTTTCAGGCCCCCCATTCTCCGTGCATCCAACTCCCAAAGTTCTTCCCAGGGGTCGTCCGTGCGGCAGTGTGCACGCCCTAGGGTCCTGGATGTCCCCCGTGCTCACCAGGGCCTCCATCCCCGAGGTGATGGTGCCCAGCAGGCCCAGGGTTCCGGGAACCCGAGGGCCATCTCGGGTCCCCTCCCCCTCTCAGTCCTGGACCCACACGTTAGGTGCGTGCACAGGGAAAGAACAAGGCGGGCTCTCAAAAAAAAAGAAAAAGAAAAAGAGTGGCCCGGCTACTCGCGGGTTTACGGGCGCACGTAGCTCAGGCCTCCTCGCCCTTGAGCTGGGATTGGGCGCCCGGCGCAGGAGGCGGGGCGCACGTCGCCTTCCCCCCCCCCCCCGTGCCCCACTTCCTATAAATACGGGCTGCGGGCTCGCTCGGTGCTCTCTGCTCCTCCAGGTGCTCCGGATTCCTCGCTCTTCCTGTGCAGGTGAACTGGGCGCAGGACGCGCAGCCTCGTCGGGCTCGGCGGAAGGAGGGGAAGGGTTGGCGTTCGCGCTCGGGGCTTGGGCAGCCCTGAAAGCGGGGACTGGGGCCGCCCGGGTGGGCTCCCGCACTGCCGGGGCAGGAGGAGGACGTGACGAGGTGTTGGGTGGGAATGGAGGCCGGGGGGAGGGGATCCGAGGGCTCTCGACGCTGGCCTTGCTAACTCTCTTCTTGCTGGTCCTACAGCGCATCCCTGAGACAAAATGGTGAAGGTCGGAGTGAACGGGTGAGTGGCCCTGGGATGAGGGAGGGTAGGGATGCAGCAGCGGCCAATTGCGCCTGCGGGACTGGCAGGCCTAGGTTCTCCACTGTGGTGTGGGAGTAAAGTGGGATGGTCATAGCCCCAAAGAGCTCAAGGTCAGCGCCCCAAGGCCTCCAGAGGCCTCTGGTCCCCTAACACCCCCCTGCAATGGCGCCTCTGGTGACTCCGCCCCTGCCGGGACGCGCAGCCTGGAGACCGTCCCCAGCTGTCCCCCCCTACTCCCGCGCCATGTGGCTCCTAATCCCCCAGCCCGCGCACCCCTTTCTTTGCTTTCGCGCCCCGCGGGGTCACGTGCTCCGCAGAGGCGCCCCTCCCCCAGCCTAGGACTCCTGGGGGATGCGCGGTGCCTGCTCCCCAAGGAGCAGCTCAGTTAGGAGGCTGGGTTTGCGGCAACTCGGGCGCCATGTTGCAACTGGGAAGGAAATGAATGAAGCCCCGTTAGGTAACCCAGGTTCTCCTTTCTTCCCCTCTCTGGCCACGCGATGACTAACGCTCCTGCCCCACTGCAGTAGGGTGGAGTCTCATCCGGTGCGCCACGGCGGTGCTGCGTGAAAGGGCTGGACCCTTGCTTGGCTGCGCCATCCCGATTGCCCCTCCCCAAGCCATTTCTACCTCCTTCATTCATTCACTCCCAAGGAATCCCAGTGGGCTCCTGCAGGTCCCGTCCCACAGCAGGGAGAGCTGTGTGGCTCGGGGCCAAATCCAGAGCAGCTGAGTCATGGGCGAGCAGAAAATTTCCACTGCAAGATGGCTCCAGCAGCGATCGCCGCGCAGCCGCCTCCGGCCGTGGCTTCCTTGGCGCCCCAACCTAGCCGAGACCCCACCCTTGAGGGCCAGACAGGAAAGGTCACGGCAGGGGATTAGGTGTCAGAGCTGCTGCTGGACTCCTGTCCTGCTCCTTCCGTGGGTCTTCCAGAAACCAGATCCAGGCTCCACCCTGAGCTGTGGTTAAATATAGCCGCCTGACCTTTCTGTTCCTGGGGGCCTCGTGCGCCCCTGGTGCTGGCCACCCCTCCGAAGTCCCGGGAGGAAGTCCGGATGGCCCCTTGTAGGAGGGGCTTGGCCCGCCCTGCGGCCCCTGACCTTTACTCTTAACCTTTGAGCTTGATGATGCTGAGTGCACATCTCCGGCCCTATATGGGGGTGCGGCCTGCAGCTGGGCCAAGCAGGAACCAGGAACACTCCCGGGGCATGCATTGAAAGGGGCAGAGGGTGTTGGGTGTCATGCGCCCAGACTCTGGGTGGCAGTGCCTCCCTTGAAAGCCACTGTGGGTGGAGCAAGGGCCCCTAAATATCTCTTAAGCTGGCAAGAGGAGACTTAATGATGGGAAGCCAGGGCTTCAGGGAGACAAGATTAGCCCTCTAGCTGGGATGGGGAAACCTTGTACAGTATCCAACTGTGGCTGGAGAAATATTCCTGGGGTTAGAAAATACCAGAACATTCTAGAGAAAATAAAGCCATCCAGCCTGCCTCCCACTGGATAACTACAGCGCATCCACTCGAGTGGTGTGGGAGCATTGGTGAGGTGTGCAGATGCCTTGCCATTGCCCATAGCTCATCCTCACCCCTTCCCTCAGATTTGGCCGCATCGGGCGCCTGGTCACCAGGGCTGCTTTCAACTCTGGCAAGGTGGACATTGTGGCCATCAATGACCCATTCATTGACCTCAACTACATGGTGAGCGCTGTGCCCTTGCAGCCAGAGTGGGGTTGGGGGGTCAGGAGGAGGAGTGGCCTGGCTAAGGGCAGGTGCCTGTCGCCCCTAGGTCTACATGTTCCAGTATGATTCCACCCACGGCAAGTTCCACGGCACAGTGAAGGCTGAGAACGGCAAGCTTGTCATCAACGGGAAAGCCATCACCATCTTCCAGGAGTGAGTGTGGAGGTTGGACGGGGGCGGGGGAGGCGGTGATGAGGACTGGGATGGGGGGGGGGCTTTAACCCCCGTGGTACTGCAAATCCCTGAGCTCCCGGCCCCTCCCTTCCAGGCGAGATCCCGCCAACATCAAATGGGGCGATGCTGGTGCCCAGTATGTGGTGGAGTCCACTGGCGTCTTCACCACCATGGAGAAGGCTGGGGCTCACCTGAAGGGTGGGGCCAAGAGGGTCATCATCTCGGCCCCCTCTGCTGACGCCCCCATGTTTGTGATGGGAGTGAACCACGAGAAGTATGACAACTCCCTCAAGATTGTCAGCAACGCCTCCTGCACCACCAACTGCTTGGCTCCCCTGGCCAAGGTTATCCACGACAACTTTGGCATTGTGGAGGGCCTCATGGTAAGACTGCATGTGCACACGACCCCCGGGTGGGGGGGACGGTGACATGCCACCCACAGGGCTCATTTTCTGCTCCTGTTGCCAGACCACAGTGCACGCCATCACCGCCACCCAGAAGACAGTGGACGGCCCCTCCGGGAAGCTGTGGCGCGATGGCCGTGGGGCTGCCCAGAACATCATCCCCGCTTCCACCGGTGCCGCCAAGGCCGTGGGCAAAGTCATCCCTGAGCTGAACGGGAAACTCACTGGCATGGCTTTCCGTGTGCCTACTCCCAACGTGTCTGTGGTGGACCTGACTTGCCGTTTGGAGAAAGCTGTAGGTTCTGGGTCAGGGAGCAGGTGGGGGCTGGAGGCCTGGTAGTATGCACCCTCATCTCACTCCTGTATCTTCCCTCAGGCTAAGTATGATGACATCAAGAAGGTGGTGAAGCAGGCTTCCGAGGGCCCCCTGAAGGGCATCCTGGGCTACACCGAGGACCAGGTAATCCTAGCACAGGTGGCCTGGGGCCCCACCCACCCCGCCAACCAACTCTGGGTTCAAACACTTATGCCTTTCCTCTCCCCAGGTTGTCTCCTGTGACTTCAACAGTGACACCCACTCCTCTACTTTTGATGCTGGGGCTGGCATTGCCCTCAATGACCACTTTGTCAAGCTCATCTCCTGGTATGTGACTGGGATGGGAGGGTGGGTGGAGGGGACTAGTCCTAAGGAAGGGAGCTGGGGTCTGGCACCCTCTGGTGGTCACTGCAGAAAATGACCCTTCAACTACCACCATCTCCTAGGTATGACAACGAATTTGGCTACAGCAACAGGGTGGTGGACCTCATGGTCCACATGGCCTCCAAGGAGTAAAAGCCCCCGGACCACGGACCCCAGCGAGAACACCAGAGGAAGAGCAAGGCTGCTGGGGAGTCCCTGCCCCAACTCAGTCCCCACCACACTGAGAATCTTCCCTTTCACAGTCATCCCAATCCCCCTGGAGAAGGGGAGGGGCTTCGAGCCCTATCTTGTCATGCTGCCATCAATAAAGTCCACCTTGTATCCAGCCTTTTCGTGTTGTCCTGTTAACTTATCCCAGCTGAAGGGGGGTCTTGCTATGGGGAATCCAAGAGGGAGTGGGCACAGCTGAAGTTGACCTCTTGGCACCTGTGGCAGTATACCCCAGTGTGCAGCTGTTGCTGTGCCCCCTCAGACCTGGAGTACCAACAAGTTGGGTGTCTGATAAGCCTGTGACACTGCTGGCTCCTGAGGCCTGGCAGATTCCATAGGCCAGGCACAAACGGCACCAGCTGCCTAGCAGGTAGACTAGGGCCGGCACAGCACCTTGCAACAGGCTTGATGACTGCCCTCTCCCATGTGGAGGCTCTTGACGAAGATGAAAAGACCATAACAGCACCAAGACTGGGTAATAGAAAGTGCTTGACAGTGTTCAGTAAATACAGCCAGTCTTATTAAGGACTTCATGAGGTATTCTCATTGTGCCTCTCCAGTTTTTCCAAGCTTTTCCCTGCCAACCTGTGGGTCTTGGGGTGGTGGAGACCAGACTTTTTGGCCTGGTCTGGTGCTTGAAGTGGGGACCCTGAGCACTCGCACACATACGTGTGCGTGGCCACGACAGGGTCCAGGAAGAAGTGGTTGCCTTGACACTGTTAGTCCATGAGGCTGAGGCCCCTTTCGAGCCTGGCACCTCCACCACTGTGGGGGGGGGGAATGCTATGTCCAGCCATGTTGCCCAAGCCTTCCCAGGGCCTCCAGCTGAACCTCATTTCATCAGCACCAACCAGTTACGGGACCAGAGCACAAACTAGCGGTTACCACAGGCATAGGGGCCACAGCCCATGCCCCTTCCACAGTGAGGGGCCATGGTCACTTGGCAGCGCTGGACAGGTGGGCGAATAGCAGACACCCATGCGTGAAGGCAGGGGACCCCCACCGTGGTGGATGGGCCGGGTCCAGGACCCCAGTGGGGCGGGGATGGGGGGAGCCCAAGGCAAGGGTGCCCAGTGCACGGAGGCCAGGCCTGGTGTGGGTAGGGGGCACAGGTGACACTCCCCTTAAGGGGCCCCCATCGCTGCCTTGGTGTGTTCCCAGCAGAGTGGGCACTGCAACGGATGTCCCCTATCTCAGGGAGCTGTCAGATGAGACTTCCCGATCCGAGTCCTCGGGCTCGCTTGGCGGTGGCGGTGGTGGTGGCGGCGGGTCGCTAACCGGGACTGCAGTGAGAGCAGGAGACTTTCTAGAAGAAAACGCCCATTGTCACCTGGGGGCCCCTCTGCAGGGACCCCACGAACCGGGAGGTTAGGCAGCCTTATCACCCTCTAGCAGGTGAGGACGGGGGTACTCAGGGTGGGGAACAGGGCTAGCACAAGCAGATCCAGGCAGTGCACCATCCTGCATTCATCCCTGGGCGGTGGCGGGGTGGGTGGGTCAGCCAGGGACCACCTGGCTGTCTGAAGTCCCAGGACCGGAGATGCCACCAGGGCTCCTTGCCCACCCCAGGGCCTGGGCTTTGTAGGTATTTCTGTGATTAACTTGGGATCAAAGGCATGATTCGTGGCTCTCTCAACTTTCAGATACAGATCAGTAGTTCTCATGTCCTTTCTGAACCATGCCAGTTTTTCAGGCACTTTCAGTCAGGAGGAGAAACACAGAGTGGGCACCAGTGGGAAGTACCAGCCAACCAGTGACCAACACAGAGGGAAGGAGACACCTCCTCCAGCTCTCTGCCAGCTGGACCGGGCAGCCGCACCATTCCCAGGGGGTGGCCCTTGCTGCCTCGGGTCATCACGGCTTGCCAGCCACGGCCATGGCCACAGGCTCTCTGCCCTCCGCTTAGGGAGGCCCTTACCGGTCGCCCGACTGCGTGATGAGCCGGCGGCAGGTTTCCATCTGCACGTCGAGACCCCGCTTCATGCTGCACATCTCCATGTACTCGTGCAGGTGCCGGTTCATGTCACTCTTGGCCGTGGCCAGCTCCAGCTGCAGCAGGACAGGGCGGGGCAGGCAGGGTCAGCAGCTGCCTGCGCCCTGTGGCACAGCCAGGACAAGCAGCTGGGCCGCAGCCCCAGGGCAGCCGGGACAGTGCAGGGGGGAGGGGAGAAAGGGATGAAGGAGGCTCAGATTTTAAAATAAATTTGATCCAGACAGGAGGCACCCAATGAACTTACTGGTTGGCCTGGGAACCCATGCCTATGGGGCAGTGCTAAGGTACATGCTACAAGCCTGCAAGAGCCTGCTGAGGGACGAGGAACGGCCTGTGGAGAGGCCAAGGTGCAGGGTGTGTGGGGCAACGCACCTCACTGCCCTGAGCGTGGGGCCTACATGCCTTGCTGCCCACTGCGCACCATCAATGGCGACCTCTGAGTCTACAACTCTGTGTGCGGGACGCGACCTGAGGGGGCACCGCGCCTTGGCTTGGTCTTCTCATCTCCCGATTTTATCCTCTCGCTTGTCAGCCATTTCCAGGCACTTTGAAGATGGCCGTGATGACGGCATGTTGATTTCTAAGATGCATCCTAGAGGGGCTGCTGTGGCACAGTAAACTAAGCTGCCACTTTTTGAGCCCCTGCATCCCACTTCGGAGTGTCAGCTCTGAATCCCAGCTGCTCTGCTTTCAGTTAGCTCCCTGTTAATAAGCCTGGAAAAGCAGCGGCAGCTGAGCTTTCTGGCTCCTGGCTTTGGCCTGGCCGGGCCTCAGAGCTGTTCCAGGTACCTTGGGAGTGAGCCAGCAGATAGAAGGTCTCACTCTGTGAAACTTGCTTTCAAATAGATTCTCTTTTAAACAAACAGAGATGTACACCAACTACAGTTCTGCTCTACACAAAAAACGTGCAAGGGCACATGTGGGCAAGGGCATGCCGTCACCAAGGGTGGATGCTGCAGCCAGAGGTCCCGGCTAGCGGGAGAGGCAGGCGGCCAGCCCGGGCGGGAAGAATCTGGGCCAGAGCCGGTCTGGGCCTCCCTTTGTCCTGGGTATAAAGGACAGGGGCCTGAAGGGGAAGAGAAGAAAAGCACTTGGAATTGACTTGCTGCGAGAAAGGGGAGGAAGCCACCCGGGGACACAGGGGAAGCCACCCCTAACTAACATGTGCTGGGCACAACGGATGGGAACTTATGAGGAAGAAACAAACGGGGCACAGGGCCAGATGGAGGGGGCTGCTGGCACAGTGCTCCATACCCTGGGACTGACAACTGGGATCACAGCCGCAGTGTGGGAGTCCACAGAACTAACGATTCAAACCAGACAGAAAACACTGCTGTCCCCTGCCCCAGCTTGACCCAAAGTCCACCTGCCCCCAGGCTCACTCAGGAAGCCAGCAGGGTGGGGGTGAGGGAGGACAGGGAAAAGGCAACGACCCACACATTTTCCATTCTGGACACAGGACTGGTGTGGCCAGCAGTGACCCCTCCGCATTTCTCTGCCCCCTCCCCCTGCCACTTATGAACATATTTTTTGAATTTCTTTCTGCCATGTCACACGTGGACATTCGGATGGGCTCCAAGGCAACACTTCAATGGGCGAAGATGGGGTAAATTGGTCCAACCAGGCAGCCAGCCTTCTCCTGTCTTTCACCCTCCCTCACGTCCACAGCCCTTGGACTCCAGCTTTCCTGTTTTTCCGGATTGTGACACCTTATCAGGGAGTGCAACTGCCCACCGGGCTGGGCTGCAGAACCCAGAATTTACTACTCTGACCACACCTGGGTGCATGCCTCTCCCTCCCCACCTCACCACACATTTAAAGCAGGGAGGAGGCAAGGTCATGACTGGAGGTCAGGTAACGACTCCTGGACCAGACAGTCTCTGGAAAACCGTCCCCTACGCTACCCTACCCCACCCAGCCCTGGGGGAGCAGAGAGCTGCAGGTGGGATGGGGAGTCGGTATTCTACCGGCTTCTGTGTGGCAACTCCTCAGCTGCATCATCCATGGCCAAGGCCATCTCAGCAACCAACTGTGGAGCTCAGGGAGACGGGCACAACCAGGCACAACACTGCCACTGAAGCCACCACTTCATTGCTCCTGATTCTTCCAACTTGGTTCTGCTTGGGGAGGAGAGGGCTGCTGCAGGACTAAGGGAACAGCCCAGAGGGCTCTTCATCAGGGTACGTGTTAAAGGAGAGATGGGAGCCCCAGATCACAGCCCTGCAGCCACTCTCGGGTTGAAGGCACAGGGCGAACATCCTGCATTGGGGGGGCCTGGGTGAGCCAAGGAATGGGATGGGGGGCAGCACCCAGTGAGGCCGGCCAAAACAGGGCCCTGGAGACCAGTTCTGGTAGGGCCCAACTGGCTGCGCCTTTAAGATTTAGCGTGTGTGTGTGTGTGTGTGTGTGTGTGTGTGTGTGTGTGTGTGTGTGTGTGTGTGTGTGTGTGTGTGTGTGTGTGTGTGTGTGTGTGTGTGTGTGTGTGTGTGTGACACAGGAAAGGAAGGAGCAGGCCAATCGGATGATGTGTGTTGGGAGAATGAGGAAGTGGGAAAACAATCATCATTTTCTTCTGAAAATGCAGGCAGCCTGAGTGCACACAGCACAGAGGGAGTGAGCCGTGTGGGCAGAAAGAGAAGCCAGAGGCACGGGCAGGGCACCTCCATCTGGGCTCCATCCCCGCCCGGCTCCATCCCCGCCCGGAGCTCAGCTAAAAGCCCCAGCTGCACCTGCCACCTCTGGAGGGCGCCACGCCCCAGCTGTAAGACAGCTGCAGCAGCTGGGACAGAGCCAACCAAATGTTGGCTGCGGCCAGCTTGTCACAGAGTGGCAAATGAAGCCACTGTGTGTGACTCTGGCACTTAGGCTCAAACCCAAGGCCTTGCTAGTAACAGTGAGCTTGGGAAGGCAGTGGAAGATGGCTCAAGCACTTCCCACACACATGGGAGACCCGGATGCATTCCCTGGCTCAGGTTTCATGGCCCAACACTGCCCCATCCTCCACTGTCCCCAGCTCCCCATCCCGCTGTTACAGCCATTTAGGGAATGAGCCAGTAGATGGAAGATCTCTTTCTCTCTGCGTCTCTCACTCTCTTGACACTCTGCCTTTCAAATAAATGTCTAATAAAAATAAAACAATGTTACCCTTAATGGTGCACTTACCATGAGCCAGGCCCCAGTCCAAGCTTTACATGAGGACACTCCAGGGGTTACTGGGGATGACCCCCACTAGGCCAGGCTGCAGCACCTGGTGGTATGCAGGAAGACTGGGTCTGGGCAGGTAGGCTGGGTTGTAGCACCCCTCAGTTCCTGTGAGGTACGGGCCTGGGTGGGACAGAACTGACCAGGCAGCTGCATTCACTGGTATGCGTGCTGGCTGGTCCAGATCACAGATTGAACCTGACCCTGCACTGGCTGGCACACACAAGAGTCAAGTCTGAGGTCACCACAGGTGAGGTTTCTTGGGGGACTCCCCAACTAGAGTCCTGGGCTCAGACCCCAGCCACAGGAAAAAAAATCACCAGATGTGGTCTGACCTTGGAGTGCATGCATTGAGACTGGGCCTCCTCAGTTGCCTGTGCAGTGGACAGCATGTCCAGATAAACACGGGGGATATGACAGCAAGCTCATCTAGGCCAACAGGGGAAGTTAACTGCCATATCAGAGGTTGACAAACAGAACAGGTTGGACAATTCTCCTGACCAAGCTTTGCAGCACATTCCTGGGTCTGTGGATGTACCAAGGTAGACTTTATCAATAAGTAGACCTTGGGAAGATTTTCTCAACCCTGGAGCAATGAAGCTGACGACATAACAAAACTATCAAAACCACTGAACTAACACCCTCGGAACAGTCTTCCCCATAATGGGATCTCTACGCATCATCAAATGACCATCCCCCTATGCCCGGGTGCTGACACAGTTTGACAGCAAAAAGTGGCCCTCTCCCCACTTTCCCTTCAGACACAGAAAAAAAATGAAACATTTGTCCTACCCACCGTCCTCCATGCCTAATCAGACACTCCCCACCCTAATCAGAAGCCTACATGGGCATGCATCCCTCTCAATTATGTAAACAATATTAAAAACAAGAACCAGGAAGGGAGGTGGCAGAGCCAGCAGGGGGAATAAGTGGGGGGTTCCCTTGCTGGACAGCTACTCCCACTGGGGAGCGTGAGCTGGGATGGGGACAGACCAGACCAGGAAGCGCTACAACACCTGTGGGCCTCATGTGGACTAGATCAGGGAAAAGCCAGGCTGGGCTGATTGATCCTACTGGTACAAACTACAATTAGAGTGGGTGAGGGTTGTTGGGGCTTAGCTGCAGCATCAGCTGGCAGAAGCTGGTACTGGGGGCCAATTCTGTCAAGTTAAACCACAGAACCACCTGGAGAGTGTATAATCCAGGAGTGGGAGTGGCCTGGGAGGGAAATAGTGGGTTCCTCCTTCTTGGGTTACCAACCCCATGGAAGGGCACGAAAATTAGGACAGGGGCTGGGGTGGCTAGACAGAGAGACACCCGACAACATCCGTGAGGGCTGGATAGTGGAGCTGGTTAGATGGAACTAGGCTTTAATACCCATTGACATGTATGAGAGCTGAAGGGGATGTGAGACAGATGGAACTAGTCTGCTACATACACTGGCAAACCAAGGCAGGGGGTGGGCCTGGTGGGGGTTATTGTGGGTCGCTCCAACTAGGCTGCAGCCCACACTGGTTTGTGTGAGGGCCGAGTATGTGCTGGGCAGAACCAGGCTGAACTGTGGCACCTATTGGTTCCGATAAAAGACAGGGCTGGAAACAGAACCAACCCAGCAATTGCAACCACCAGCTGAGTCAATCAATCACCTCAGCTATATGTTGGCAGTGAAAAACTGGGCAAACAGAAACTCTATGATGGACTATGTCAATCAGTGGATCCTTCAACGACCTCATCGTGCTTGGAGTGGTGAGATTGGCAGCAATTCAGAACTGTTGAACTATCAAAACCACTTGAGCAAGACCCTCGGAGCATGCCCCACATCAGGGACCTGGGGTGGGTGGGAGACTGGTGAGGCTTGTCCCTTAAAAGTCCCCTTTTACCTCAGATATATGAAGGAAACAACATGGAACTAATTGTCTTACCCATTTTCCTGTAGCGCTTGACCCTTTTTACCCTAATTATGTAAAGATTGTCCCAAAAATTAATTAATTAATTTTTAAAACAATATTAAAAACAAAATTAAAAAAAAATTTTTTAAGTGCCTCAAAAATGAGATGAAAAGCTAAGTTTATGGAGCTGGGCATGGTGGCGCAGTGGGGTAAGAGCCTGCGTGGCGTGAGCCCCAGCCCCGCTGCTCCCAGTCTGACTTCCCGGTCAGGTACTTGGGAGGCAGCGGCAGCTGGCTTACAGACCTGGGACCCACGTGGACCCATGTGGGAGACCCGGATGGAGCTCTACTAGTTTCCCGGCTGCAGAGGGGCCCAGTTGCGGGCATTTAGGGAGTAAAGATGGAAGATTCTCTCTCTCTCTGTCATTTCACCTTTCAAGGAGACAGAAAGAAGTAACCATTTTGAAAAAGATCATGTGGGTCTGATGGCTGCCGCCTTACGTCCCACATAGGCCAGTTCGTGTTCCGCGGCGGCTCTACTTCTCCCATCCAGCTCCACGCTGCGGCCTCAGGAGGCAGAAGAGAATGACTCAAGCCCTCTACACCCGTGTGGAGACCCGGAGGAAGCTCCTGGCTCCTGGCTTTGGATAGGCTCAGCTCTGGCCATTGTGGCCACAGAAGGGGTGACCCAGAGGATGAGATCTCTGTCTCTGTCTCTCCTCTCTCTATAACTCTGGCTTTCCAAGTATTATAAATAAAGATCGATCAAAAGATACTTTATTTTGGTTTGGAAAAAAAAAGTCTGAGAGGGACAGGCATCTGACTTAGCCACTGAAGATGCCAGTGGGGTTGCCCACATCTTCAGCTGCAGAGCTGAGGTTCAAGTTCTCGTCACACCCGCGAGGATAACACACTTGCTGGGGGGCAGCCTCGTGGAAGACTGGAGGTCCAGGGCTTGGCCTCAGGCTAGCCCACCATCACAGCTATGTGGGGAGGGAGCCAGTACACGGCGTGTTCTTTCTCCCTTACACCCCCGCTGCCTTTTAGTGCCACAGAATTGGGTGGGGCAGGGGTGGGCCAGGGCAGGGTGCTTAACTCAACCTGGTGAGCAGCTGGGATGGCTGCAGCCCACACTGGAGTGCCTGGCTTCCAGTTCTGCCTCCTGACTCCAGCCTCCTGCCAAGGTGGGGCCCGGGCAGGCAGCAGCATGACAGCTCAGAGTCGGGCTTCCTGCCACCCACAGGGAAGCCTTGCACTGGGTTCCCAGCTCTCAGCTTCGGCCTGGGGCAGTGAGCAGCTGCTGGGAGCTGTCTCTATCTGTCTCTGTGCCTCTTACATAAGATAAATTTAAAAATAAAAATTTGAAATTCATTCGTGGCTTCTTTATAATGCATTTTAAAAAAATAAAAGATCTATGTTATTTATTTGGAAGGCAGTTACAGAGAGGGCTGGGGAGACAGAGCCATCTCACAGATGGCTGTGATGGCCGGGGCTGGGCCAGGCAGCAGACAGGAGCCTGGAACTCCACCTAGGTCTCCCACATGAGTGGAAGCAACCCAAACCCCAGGCCATGTTCTGCTGCCTTCCCAGGTGCGTTAGCAGGGAGCTGGATGAGTGGAGGAGCAGCTGGGACTTGAACCTGTGCCGACACAATGCAGCAGCTTAACATGCAGCACTACAACACCAGGCCCTCAAGACCTTTTTGACGATCCCTTGCACGTGTGTTGCCAGAATTGTCTGCACTGAAACTAAAATGATGTTTTGCTTCTGTTCTCCGGGAACTTTCTAAAGAAAGTCATTCGTTTCTCTCAAGAGCCTGCCAGGGCAGGTGTCATCCAGCTCTCCGCCTCACTGACGCTAAAGCAGGCTTAGCGAGGACGAGGAGCTGGAGCAGAGCTGGAGGAGGACGGACTGCAGCCCACACCAGGGGTCCTGAGGGTCCTCCCTGGGTACCCAAGCTGAGGTCAGTCCCATAGGAGTGCGGGAAGGCCCTGGCAGCATCCCGCCACCCCCGCCCCTGCTTACCTCTATCTGGTCAATGGTTTCCTGATATTCTTTCTCCCGGGTTTTGAAGAGGGACTCGGTGTCTTTGATCACCTTCTCCAAACTGTCCTCCTGCTGCTGGGGGCCGAGTGAGGCAGCACGGGAGGCGGCAAGGAGGAGGAGCAGGTGTGGGCAGGGGCAGGAGACAGAAAGAGAGAAACTCCGGTTAAAAGCAACTGCGGAGAGGAGGAGGAGGAGGTAGAGGATGAAGAAAGAGGGGTGAAGCGGGGAGAGGAAGACGACTACACTGGGAACACAGCGAGGGAGGGAGGCAGGCAGGCAGGGAAGGAATGAGGTGGGTAGTGGGTTGGGGGGTGAAGGGGAGGCGCTGGAGGGGCCCCGGGGCCGGGAGCGGCGTTACCTCTCCCTGGGCCTCTGCCGCTGCCATGGCATAGCCTGAGAAATCCTCCCAGAGCAGCAGGGTCTCCTCAGTCTCCTCCCAAGTCAGGCTGTCACAGTCGTCCTCAAAATCATACTCCCGCCTAGAGACAGGGAACCCCGGTGGGCGGGGCGGGGCGTCAGGCTGCGGGGCGGGGCGCCGGCCTCGTGGGGGCGGGGCCAGGCCCGGGGGCGGGGCCGGGGCGGGGCCGGCCTGGCACTCACAGCTGGTTGAGCATGCGCTGCATCTCCTCGTTGATGCTGAGGGCCGTGCTCTCCTCCTCGTCCCCCTCGGGCTGGCGGGGCCCGGCGCTCTCCGACAGGGAGGGGTCCTCCTCCACAGGCGCCTTGCGCTCCCGCTTCCGCCCCCCCATGGATGGGACCTTAATGGGAGACAAGTGCAAAGACTACAGAGACGAGGCCGGGTGCATGAGGAGCGAGGGCGGAGGGGTGGGGTGTTGTGTCGGGGATGGAGAGGGATGGATGGGAGAAAAGCGGGGGAACCAGCGAGGATCGGGGCAGGTGGGGCGGGCACACGGAACAGGCAGAGAGAAAAGACTCGGTTATGACGGCGGCGGCGAAAGAGAGACACGGAAACACGCAGGGCAAGACGGACACAGAGCAGGGCAGGGCTGCGGGCTGAGGAAGAACAAGGAGAGAAAGAAAACAGAGTAAGATACGGGGCGCAGTGGCTTCGAGAGGACGAGAGATCACGTTGACATGGGCAGGGTGGCCAGAGAGGCCATTTTGGGTTTCTAGGGGGAAAAAATAAATAAATAATTAAAAATTCTTGGTGAAACGAGGGAGGGAAAAGAGAGTTGTTGGCCAGGAGGAGGAGGAAGGGGCCGAGGTTGGCCACAAGAGAGCCTGAAGCGTACCCCCAAATCTGACAAGTGGGAGAGAGAAGCCGACACAGAACGAGAGTGGGGACTGTGGGGGTGGGAGGATCGGAGAGGGGTAAAAGAGAGAGAGAGAGAGAGCAGGAAAGACTCCAGGCCAAAGAAATTGGGGCTGAGGTCAACGGCCACAGCTCGGGAGGCCTGGGGAGGAGGGAGCGGCTGGGACACGGACAAGCGGACTAACCAGCTGCCTCTGTGCGGACGGCACGGAAAAAAAAAAAAAAAAAAGATGGAGGCAGAGAGGAGGGAAGCAGATACAGGAGAGAGAGGGAGGCTGCGTCAGAGCAGGCTGGCGCTGCCCCCATCACCACCGCCCGGCCTTGAGGGTCCCAAGGGCGCAGGGCCGGCGCTGCCCCACCTGGCTGGGAGCCCTCACCTGGAACATCTGGATCACATCCTCACAGTTGCGCTGCTGAGCTAGGTCGCAGAGCTTGGCGGTGATGTCGATGCGGCGGCAGATGTCCATGTCCACCTTCATGGCTTTCTCCTGGATCTTCGTGTCCAGCTCTGACAGGTTCTGGGCCGGGGAGGGCAGGGACGGAACCCAGGATTACTCCCGGCGCCCAGCAAACCTCCACTTGCACCAGGCTGGTGCTGGAGGTGCAAGGGCACAGTGCAACCTACAGCTGGGGCTGTTTTCCAACGGACTCGCTGGCCAGGAGGGAGCCCCTGACAGGTGAGGCCTGGTGCCTGGGGCATGTCAGGGCCAATAGCACCGCTCACCCTCATGGAACTTAGGGAAAGTTCCAGCGCATAATATATCATAACAGTAATTAAGCAGCTAACACTTAGCACCAAGTATGAGAACACTTCAGAATGTCTAAAAAGTAAGTTTAGGGCCCGGCACTGTGGCCTAGCAACTAAAGTCCTCGCCTTGAACCACTGGGATCCCAAATGGTCACCGATTCTAATCCCAGCGGCCCCGCTGCCCATCCAGCTCCCTGCTTGTGGCCTGGGAAAGCAGTTGAGGATGGCCCAAAACTTTGGGACCCTGCACCTGTGTGGGAGACCAGGAAAAGCTCCTGGCTCCTGGCTTCAGATCGGCACCACACCGGCCATTGCGGCTACTTGGGGAGTGAATCATTGGACGGAAGATCTTCCTCTCTGTCCCCTCTCCTCTCTGTATACCTGCCTTTCCAATAAAAATAAATAAATCTTTTTAAAAATTAAATAAATAAATAAAAAGTAAGTTTAAGAGGGGTGGCATTGTGGTACAGCGGGTAAATCTACTACCTGTGATGCCAGCATCCCTTGTGGACACCAGTTCGTGCCCCAGATGTTCCACTTCCCATCTAATTCCCTGCTAATGTACCTGGGAAAGCAGCAGAAAGGACAGCCCAGGTACTTGGGCCCGTGACACCCACATGGGAGAACTGGATGAGGCTCCTAGCTCCTGGCGTGTGGCCATCTGAGGAATGAATCAGCAGGTAGAAAACGTATGTGCATGTGTGTGTGTGTCCCTCCCTCCAACTTTTGAATAAATAAATACATCTTTTAAAAAAATATCAAGGGGTCAGTGTAGTTGCCTAGGGGCTTAAAGTCCTCGCCTTGTACATGCCAGGATCCCATATGGGCACAGGTCCTAATCCCAGTGGCCCCACTTCCCTTCCAGCTCCCTGCTTGTGGCCTAGGAAAGCAATTGAGGACAGCCCAAGGCCTTGGGACCCTGCACCCGCATGGGAGACATGGAAGAGCTCCTGGGTTTGGATCGGCACAGCACTGGCCGTTGCAGTCACTTAGGGAGTGAATCATCAGACGGAAGATATTTCTCTCTGTCTTTCCTCCTCTCTGTATATCTGACTTTACAATGAAAATAAATAAATCTTTAAAAAACAAAAAAGATTAGAGGGTGGGTGCTGTGGCATAGTGAGTAAAGCATCCCACATGGGCACCAATGGAGTCCTGGCTGCTCCACTTTTAATCCAGCTCCCTGCTGATGTGCCTGGAAAGCAGAAAACAAGTGCCTGGGTCCCTGCAGCCATTTGAGACCCAGAGGAAGTTCCTGGCTTCCGCCCAGCCTGGCTGCAGCCACTTGAGGAAGGAACCAGCGGACAGAAGATCTCTCTCTCTGTCTCTCTCTCGTAGTTCTGCCATTCCGAGAAATAAATAAATCTTTAAAATAAAATAGATTTAGTCAACTGCCAGCACCGGGGCAGCCTAAAACCAGGAGCCTAGCGCTCCATCCAGGTCTCCCACATGGGCGACAGGGACCCCAAGCACTTGCCACTTTCACTGCTTTCTCAGCACATTAGCAGGGAGCTGGATTGGCAGCAGAGTAGTCAGGATTAAACTGGGACTTGGATTTGGGTTCCAGGTAGCAGGTAGCAGCTTAACTCACTAGACCACATTGCCAGCTCCCATTTTGGTTTTTGGATTTTTTAAAAAAAAAACCATTTATATTTACCTGAATACCACATACAGCAAGAGGAAAATAGGCTGAGATCTTCCACACACTAGGTTCACTCCCCAGATGTCTGCAACAGGCTGGAGCCAGGCCAAAGCTGAGCTAGAAACTCAATCCAGTCTAACATCAGGAGGATAGACACAACTACCTGAGGCACCACCTGCTGTGTGCCAGGATGCACATCAGCAGGAAGCCATAACGGGAAGCAGAGCTGGAGTCCTCCGCACTCCAATATGGCACAGGGGTATCCCAAGCAATGTTCTAACTATTGGGACAAACATCTGCCTTTAAATGGATCTCTTGGGCCCGGCGCGGTGGCGCAAGTGGTTAAAGGTCCTCGCCTTGCACGCCCCGGGATCCCATATGGGCGCCGGTTCTAATCCCGGCAGCCCCGCTTCCCTTCCAGCTCCCTGCCTGTGGCCTGGGAAAGCAGTCGAGGACGGCCCAAAGCTTTGGGACCCTGCACCCGCGTGGGAGACCCGGAAGAGGCTCCTGGCTTCGGATCGGCATAGTATCGGCCCGTTGCGCTCACTTGGGGAGTGAATCATTGGACGGAAGATCTTCCTCTCTGTCTCTCCTCTCTGTATATCCGCCTTTCCAATAAAAAAAATAATAATAAAAATAAATCTTAAAAAAAAAAAAAAGGATCTCTTGACTGTATTTTCCATGATTTTTTTTAATATTCACTTAATTATTTATTTGAAAGGTGGAGTTAGGACCTGGCACAGTAGCCTAGTGGCTAGGGCCCTCACTTTGCATGCACCAGGATCCCATATGGGTGCTGGTTCGTAGCTCAGCCACCCCACTTCCCTTCCAGTTCCCTGTGTGTGGCCTGGGAAAGCAGGTGAAGACGGCCCAAAGCCTTGGGACCCTGCACCCCTGTGGGAAACCTGGAAGAAGTTCCTGGCTTTGGATCAGCTCAGAACCAACTGTTGTGGCCACTTGGAGAGTGAACCAGCAGATGGAAGATCTTTCTTTCTGTCTCTCCTTCTCTCTGTTTATCAGACTTTCCAATAAAAATAAATAAGTCTTACATTTAAAAAAAGGTGGAGTTACAGAAAGGGAGGGGCTGGGAGATAGAGAAATAGATCTTCTGTTCACTGGTTCACACCCTAAATGGCCACAAAATCCAGGGCTGGGTCAGGCTGAGGCAAGGAGCCTAGAATTTGCTTTGGGTCTCCTGCGTGGGTACAAGGACCCAAGTACCTGGGCCATCTTTTGCTGCTTTCCCAGGCCGTTTGCAGGGAGCTGGATCGGAAGTGGAGCAGCCAGGACTTGAACTGGTGCCCGTATGGGATGCCAGCACTTCAGGTGGTGGTTTAACCTGGCTGCCATGAATTTTTTACAAAGATGTATTTATTTATTTGAAATGGAGTTACAGAGAGAGGGAAACAGGAAGAAAGGGTGCTATCCACCAGCTACTGATTTACTCCCCAGTAGCCACAATGGCCAGGGCCTGGCCAGGCAGAAACCCACAACTCCATCGGGGTCCCCTATGTGGGTGCAGGGGCCCAAGTACTTGAGCTGTCTTCAGCTGCTTTCCCAGACACAGCAGAGGGGACAGGAAGAGGCAAAGGTGGGGACCTGAACTGGTGCTCATATGGAATGCTGGCACTGCAGGTGGCAGTTTAATCCATTGAGCCACCTCCCTGACCCTTCCACGACTTATCTGAAGTACCCTTGTGCATACAGGCCCCAGCCTGGTTGCTTAGAAATGTTCTGGAGAATTCTCCCAAATATTGGTTTTCTTCCCCGGTCCCAGGCCACGGTTGAGGCTCCACAGGCCAGGGAATTTGCCTAGGGCAGTGGTTGGAGCTGCAGCATCCAGTCAGGGTGCTGGCTGCAGGCCTGTAAGAAGGCTTGGACAATCTCTGGTAGCACGCAGGCCACGCTGCCTGGGGCCCACCCCACACCAAGCCTATCTATGTTCCTCCTTCAGCTCTTACATCAGACAGCAATAAAGAGGAAAAAGAAAGCAGAAGGGAGTGGAGCGGAAGGGCGCGGCCGAGTGTAGGGGACACAGGCCCAGCTTTCTAGAAAGGGCTGCCCTCCTCCGCAGGGGCAGGGTGGAGGGAGTAGGGCAGGTCGGGCTGGTGGCACTCACATTGCTCATGAGCCCCTTGAAGACCACGAGCTCAGCTTTCAGCTGCTCCACCTTCATGGCCAGCTCCTCTTGGCATGCGTCGGCCTCTTGGGCTTCCTGCGTGCAGAGAGAACCCTGGTGACCATGTGACAGCGCAAGCAGAAGTTAAAGAAGAGGAGGAGGCCGGAGGAGCTGGCCTCAGGGCTGGGTGGCCCGTTGCAGGTGGAGTGGGGGACCCAAGGGGAACCAGGGCCCCAAGCCAGCTGCCCTCACCTCCTGGAGTTCTGCCACTCGGTCCTGCAGCTGCATGCGTACCGTGTACTCTTCTTCCCACCTGACAGACAGGGCAAGGAGCAGGAGAGAACTTAGGGACTGGGATGCCCTGCTGCCCTCACCCCATGTAGGCCTCAGCCACTGGATGGGCAGGAACACATGGCCAGTAGCTGGGGATGGGGGGCAGGGGTAGGCACAGCGGCAGCTGTCGTGTGCTCCACACTTCCTGGCAAGGCCGAGCTCGCCAACTGTCTTTCCGGAAGCACCAGGCGGGCCAGGCAACAGGACTATATTTAAGAGCAAGTGATGCAGCTCTGGGCCTCAGCATCCCTGCTCAGGCCCCAGCTTCACCAGCTGTCCAGCAGGCCTCGACAACCACTGTCTGCCCACGCCAGACCACCAGGCCCACCAGGCCCGCCAGGCTTAGGCTCCCATGTTCAGTGGCACATATCCAGTCTCCCACCTCCTGCTCACATCACACCAGAACTCCAGCCTGCTGCCCTGCTTCCTGTGAGGCCTCTTAATCCGGGGAAGCATGGGCTGCTTCAGAGCCCTGGGAAGGGGGCGATATTTGCCTCCCCAAGGTCTGGGGCCCCAGGTCCCCAGCAGCCCAAAAGCAGAGGGGCAGCAGACACTGGAGCACCCAAACCCAGAGGGAAATGAAAACTTGAAAGAAAATGGGAGCAGCACCATCTGCTGGCCACAACCCTGAATGCAGAGACCCAGGCCATGTGTGGGCACAAGGCACCCGGTGGCTGCAGGGTGGGATACACAGGGCAGGTTCTGTCACAGGAGAGGTGGGGACAGCGCCCCTGCAGAGGGCTTGGCCCTGTTCTTCCAGGACCTTCCCCCCAAACCCCGACGCCACCCCGGATGCCCAGCACCCATTTACCACCATCAGGGAGGACTGCCTGCATGAGAACAGAGGGCAAACTGGCCCTGGAGAAAGGTGGCTGGGAAGCAGCCAGGAGGACAGGCAGGAAAGCCAGGTCCAAGACAGGCTGCTTCTGGAGCCAAGGATTACGTAGTCTGTCCTTCTCTTCCCTTCCCTTCCCACCATCTCCCTTGCAGGCTCACCCTCCTGCCCGGCTCACCCACAGCCGCACTGCAGTGTTCCTAATAATAGCTCCTGGAGAGCGCCTCGGCGCCCCTCCCAGGCCGCCAGGGCGGGAGAGAGCCAGCTGGGCCTCCACCCTTGGCTCCCTGCACCCCTGCAGGCCTCCTGGCCCTCCTGGCTCCCTGCCCCCTTCCCTGCAGGCTTCCACATGTTACTCTGCGTTCTGCCACATGAGACTACATGGTTGCTTCAAAAACAAAAACAAAAACAAAAACGAAAAACTTTTCTTTCCCGGACTTTGCTTTCTTCATCTACAATATCAAAGATCGGGATGTGGTAGCCTCATGCCCCCTCTGCTCCGAATGGGGGTGGGGTGGGGCAAGTCCCCGGAGAAAGCTAGTAAGACTGAAGTAGGGCCAGGCCCATCAGGGAGGGCAGGGCTGTCCAGCAGTGAACTGAGCACGTCCAAGTGGCAAGTTAAGGAAGAAGTCAGGGGCAGGACCAAAGATAAGGAAATCTCAAGGCAGAGGGGGACTCGTTGGGGAAGCTTGCCAGCGTTACAGACACCCTCTTATCGGACATTCACCCCTTCTACCCAAACCTGTTCACCCTGCTGAGGCTCCCGTAACACGGGCATTGACTGGGCATCCCTGCATCCAAAGACATTGGATCCTGGAGCAGAGGGGAGACAAAGGGTAGGGGCTGCCCCTGTAGGGGAAACCCTGGGTCTCTGGGAATATAAGTCAGGGGACCTGGGCACCCAGGCTCTCCCTGGCAAGGAAGAGATTGGAAGGAGGGCAGGGGATCTGGGGCGGAAGGAGAAGCAAGTGCCAGTGGCACGTACCACAGGGCTTCAGCTCCAGGGCTGTCTGCAGGGCACACGAGCTAATCAGTCCCCGAGGAATAACTCCTTGTTGCCCCGGACAGCTGGACCAAGGACAAACGCTTGTTCAGCGTTTTAAAAAAAAGCCTGAAGAAGTACAGTTGTCCCTGTGGTTGTGGCTGTCTTCCAGAACTGTCCATGTCCCACAGCTGACCGCATTCATGCACTCCAGGGCACGGGCCAGGGCAGGGCTCCGGGTGGCACCTGACGGGTGGGGTTAGGACAACTCAGACTTACCAAGCGGCCATTGACTAAGGAAGCTAGCATAGGAATCAACACCCCCCAGGAAAACCCACTGGGGGTCTGCAACATGGTCGGCTCGGATAGATGACAGATTCCCTAAAGGGTACCCACCCCCAGACCTGGCAATAACTTCCCAGGATGGTCAGCCCTGGCTAATTCAGGCACCATTGGTGCCAGGGGCTGGTAAGGCAGTTTCCAGGTCTGTCCACCAGGGGTTAGAAGAGTTGCCTTGAGTCCCCAAGCCAGAGCTACCCGCCTGCCACCCATTCCTGCCCCACCCTGGCATCCCTTGGTCAGCTGGGCCCTGTGCTATGGTGGGCCTGGTTATCAGCTGCCTAAGGACTTCACAGGGTTCCAGGCCAGCACTGAATCAGCACTCCCCTGGTGTCACTTAGCTGGGCCCCCACCGTCCCCACCCCCCCAGCTGACGCGCCATCACAGGGTGTGTCCATGTTCCCAACTTTGGCGTGTTGCATGCTCATGGGTCCCCCACCCCCGTGTCCTGGAAAATTCTTCTCACACTTTCTTCCCTGGATTTTTGTAGCTAATTGCAACCAAAGCTTTCCTTAAGGAGGCGAAGGGGGTACCAGGCTTTCCTCTTCCATCCCCGCCCCTGTCCCCTGCAGGCGGGGGACGGTCCTTTGGAAAACTCTGGGGCAGTGACTTATATCCCCCACTAGAGTGCAGCCCCTCCCGCAAGACCCCTAAAGTCAGCTCCACTCTCCCAGGAGAACTTTGGTCAGGTGCAGTATCTCCCAGACCTGGCAACTCACAAAATCCCACCACAAACTCCCAGCTCTGGGCAGATGGGCCAGAAGCAAGCAGGAGTCTCCCCCAGGGGTCTGCTGCTGTCGCCAGTCTCCCGGGTCCACCTCTTTTCACCGCACCAACTTTCCTGGGCTCTGGATCCCTTGCCACTCCCAGCCCCTTGCCTGCCGGCCGCCACCGAGCCCGGCCCCCGACCCGCCCGGCCGGCCCCTACCTCCGCTTGTACTCGTCTCGCTCCCGCTTCACTTTGGCCAGCACGTTGTAGAGCGCGCGGATCTCGGGGGTGATGGTGTCGATCTGGACGCCCACCCCGTCGGGATGCACCCACGACAGGCCTGGCCCTTGCACCAGCGTGGGCTCCAGTCCCGGGCCGAGCCGGCGGGCGTGCGAGAAGGACCAGATGGTGCCGGGCATGAAGCGGGCAGACGACGAGTAGGCGGCCGAGGCGGAGGTGGCGGGCGCCGCCGGGGGCGCCGGGGGGCCGGCGGGCGAGCGCGCGGGCGAGCCCAGCACCCGTGCCGCCGGGGAGCAGACGGCGGCGGGCCGCGCGCTCAGGGGCAGTCCCAGGGGCCGGATGGGGCTGACGAAGCCGGTCTGCACGGCCTGGTCGCGGCGAGCCAGGCCCCGCCGGCCCTGCTTACCCTCCTCCAGCGCCTGCTGCAGCTGCTTCTCCAGCAGCCGGTTCCGGCGCTCCAGCTCGTGCACCTTGGCCAGGAAGCAGCGGAAGCGGAGGTTCAGGGTCTTGAGCACGTTGATGTTGGAGCCCAGGTCGTTGCGGAGCGCCATGGCTGCGGGGGGCGCCGGGCCCGGGCCTGGCGGTGAGAAGGCCGCGGGGCCGGCGGTGGGAGTGAGCGGCGCGGCGGGCAGGTCCCCTCCTCCAGAGCAGTGGTCGCTCCCCCGGGGGTCCCCCAGCGGCCCGCCCAGGCCCTGCTGCTCCTGCTGGAGGAGGAAGAGGTTGGGCCCGAATAACGGATTCATGGCTGCGTCTTCTGCTGGGAGATGGAGCCCGGTGCAGGAGCCGGGATGGAGGGTGAGCGGCAGGAGCCAATCAGGCCGCCGGGGAACGTGGGCAGCCAATCGGGTTCCCGTGGACGGGGCAGAGGTTAGGGGGCGGGCAGACAGGAAGCCAATGAGAGGCCCCACTGAGCTGGGGTCCTGGACCCTTCCGGGTGAGCCACAGCCTGGGCTGGGGAACTCCCCTGCCAAACCGCCTGGCATCTGACTGGAACGGTGGCACACAGAGCCCACCACTGTTCCGAGAGCTCTGGTGGTAGACGACCAGCTGTCCCCCAGGGGGCTCCCATTCCTTACGGGCCCCCCACTTTCCTCCCTCCCTCTTCCCTTAGCCCAGAAAGGATGGTCCCCAGCCCCCAGAAGAAACACGCAACAGCCAAACTACAAAAACATATGTAATTTCATGTGTGTGCCCAGTGGCAGGGCCATCCTCGCAGAGGGTACAGTCCACCACAGTAGCACAGGTGGCAAGCCGGCACCATCTGGCTTACAACCAGCCACCCTAGGACTTCCTCCTCTTGGCCGGAGGGGGCCGGCTGGAGCCCTGGGCCGTGCCATTGTGGGTCTGGAGGGCAGCTTTCTTTGAAGGCTGCCCCAGCTGCTGCAGCTTCACTTTCTTGCTTCCTCGGACCTTCCCAGGGGGCCGGGCATGGGTCTTGGCAAAGGTGTGTTCGGCAGGAGTTCCAGGGTCTGTGCCCTTGGGAAGGGCATTCTGCCGTGGGTCGGCAGCCTTCTTGGGGGTCCACGGTTTACCAGCCACCGGCTTGCACGTCTCTCCGCCTTTTGGCCCCCTGCCCGCTTGAGCTCGCTCAGGGGGCTGACTGTTGTCTTGGAGCTCTGAGGCGGCCTGGGCCTTGGGGACGGGAGCCCCAGCCGCCAAGTCCGCGCCTGCCTGCCCGGTCGCGCCGTTGAACTTCTGGAGATGAGGTCGTTTCTGAGTGCGCTGCTTTGGCCCTGTAGCCGCGGCAGCCTTCTGGGCCGGCTGGCTGCTGAGCGCAGACCCGGGAGGGGCCTTCCCCTTCCCCGGGGACAAGCCTGGATCTGTAAGGGCGGCTGCTGCAGACTCTCCTGTGGTTAAAGGCAAACAAGACAGTCTGAGAAAACTAGGCCTTAAGTAGAAGTGAACTGTGGAAGTTAACTGCCATCTCTCGGCCAGGTGTCCTCCACACCTGGGACAGTGCCTAGGCGTGGACTGCTTCAGCTGCCGGCCACTTGGCCTCCTGCTCCAGTACGCTCTAAATGGCCTCCACGTGGGAGACCCAAATGAAGCTCCAGGCTGCGGCTGAGCACAGGCCCTACCACTGCAGTGGACTGGAGAGCTCTCTCCCCTCTCACCCTCTCTGTAACTTTCAAATAGAGAGAGATAGGAAGGAATGGCTTGCCCATCCTTGGTAAGAATCTGAGGGGAAGCTGCGCCCCCTGGAGGACAGTAGGCAGCAAGACACCCTAACAGTGGATGAATTGGAGAAACTCCAGATCCAACCCCAAGCACTGAGCTTTACTGTTTGTAAGCCAGACAGCTGTCTTCCTCCTGTGGCTTCTGTTTGATGAAATGCAGGAGAAAACAGGCAGCACACCCACAATAATTAGAAACAAGTTACTAAGACTCCTGACATATTATACACTCAATTTCTAGCGAGCTTCGTTATTAATTTAGCCAATAAGGCCAAGGTTCCAGTTCTACCCCAGCAGGCGGTGCCCTGGTCTGTCTCAGAAGCCCCAACCTTCCCCTTGAGATCAGGACTGGACTCAGAGGCCCAGCAGGCGACCAGCACTTGGCAGGAGGGGCGTCATCCTGTGGAGCCTATGCCAACCCAGTGCTGAGAGTGCTGGGCCCTAAGTCAGCCCTGGGCTGAGGTGACAGAACAGGCCCGTGGTCCCTTCCACAGGGATCCACTCTGATAGGACCCAGGCCCCAAGGACAACCACGGCTGAGCTGGAAGAGGCCTCTCCAAGACCCCAGAGGCTGAGGTGAGGATGCTGCAGGCAGACCACAAGGCCTCCTGGGAGGCAGGAGGGGACAATGACCTACCTGCTTGGGCCTGGGGGATGGAATTGGAGAATTTTTTGAACTTGGCAATAAAGAAGCCATCCATGTTGTGGGTGTGAGGGTAGAAGCGTCGAGTGGAGCGCAGGCTGGGGTGGAAGCGCCTTTCCCGAAAGCGGGTGAAACCCTCCTGGCCAAAGTCCAGGCCTGTGGGCACCAGCCGAACATTCCTCTTTTTCAGGGCGTAGTCCACCACCCACTCATTCTCCTCCACCTGGGTTATGGGGGGAGGGCAGGGCAATGAGACAGCTGGAAGGAGAGGGCCGGGCTGCAGGAGCTGCGGCGGAAGGCAGCACACGGAACAGCCTCCCAAGCCCGGCTCCCCTGCTCAGCCGAGGCAGCGGCCTCACCATGATGGAGCAGGTGCAGTAGATGAGGTAGCCGCCCGTCTTGGAAGCAGCATTGACAGAGTCGATCGCACTCAGGAGCAACTCCTTCTGAAGGTGGGCGCAGCGCAGGATGTCCTTCTCATCCTGCAGACAGAGGCCCCAGCATGTCGCAATTCCCAGAAGAACCCTTGGGAGAACAGGCCAGCCCCACCTGCCTGAGGGTTCCCCCACCTTACCTTGTTGGTCTTCACGGCGGGGTCTTTGGAGATGACCCCGGTGCCACTGCAGGGGGCATCCAGCAGCACTCGGTCAAACCCCCCCGCCACCTGGAGAAACAAACAAGACAGTCGCCGGTTTCTGCAAGGCGCCACACACCGTTCATTCCCCCAGGAGCAAGTCTACACGTTCCGCTATTGCCACGGGGGAGTTGACTGGGGGATGCCTCAAGGGGTGACCCACAGGACAGCCACCTTGGGGAACTGACGCCCGTCGTAGTGGCTGATGATGGTGTTGGTGACCCCCAGGCGGTGCAGGTTGCCCACGACGCTCTTGAGACGCTCGGCGTTGGCATCGTTGGCAAGGATCACACCCGTGTTCTTCATGAGCTGGGCTGCAGAGGGGAGGACAGCGGTGCTGAGCAGCCAGTGCCCCCACACTGACCCCAGTCTCACCCCTTCATGGCTGACTTCATTCCTAATCAGCCAGTTCCCCACCGCCTACTTCCCAGGCCTAGCTAGCTTGCCCCAGCCCCTAGCGACAGGCAAGCCTCCAGCTTGGTCTAAACATCCTTCTGGCTGCCCAAGCGCTTTAACAGCTGAGAGGCCGGCACAATGGCTCGACAGGCTCGTCCTCCCCCTGCAGTGCTGACATCCATGGGGGTGCCGGTTCGTATCCCGGCTACCCTCACTTCCCACCAAGCTCCCCGCTGTGGCCTGGGAAAGCAGCAGAGAATGGCCCAAATCTTTGGGCCTCTGCACCCACATGGGAGACCCGGAAAAAGTTCCTTGCTCCTGGCTCTGGATCAGCTCAGCTCTAGACTATTTTTTTTTTTAATTAAAGATTTATTATTATTTTTTTTCTTGGAAAGGTAGATACACAGAGAGGAGGAGACAGAAAGGAAGATCTTCCATCTGATGGAAGGGGCTGCCGGGATATGAACCAACACCCATATGGGATCCCAGAATGTCTAAGGCAAGGACTTTAACCACTACGCTACTGCGCCGGGCCCAGCTCTTGACTATTGTAACCATTTGCAATATGGATGGAAGCAGCAGATGGAAGATCTCTGTCTCTCCTTTCTGTAAATCTGCCTTTCCAGAGAAAAAAATTAATACATCTCAAATTTATGAGATTTATAAATCTCCCACCACCCAGGTGGGAGCCTCTGTTTCAGTTCCTAGCTCCCTGGCTACTACAGGCATGAGGGGGAGTGAACTGGTGGTGGAAGCGCTCTCTGTAAAGAGAAAAGAAAATAAGTAAAAAGAACTAACAGCCCAGTAGGAAGAGGATGAACCTGTAAGTGCATCACCTCGAGCCTCCCAGCCCATCAGCACAGCCCATCAAAGCATAACTCCCCCCTGCACACGTGGACAGCAGCAGCCCACCAGACGTGAGCCCGAGGTCAGACACGCAGCCAGGGGCATGGACCGGGCTCACAGCCAGGCTGCCCGGCTGCCTGCACAGCAGGCCCCAGGACTGAGGCGCCCTGACCCCACCCACCCCATCCACACCTATGTAGCTGGTCTTTCCTCCCGGGGCGCAGCACATGTCGAGGATCCGCTCGTGTTCCTGGGGGGCGAGGGCCATGATGGGCAGCATGCTGGAGGCACCCTGCAGCATGTAGTGCCCGGCCAGGTACTCGGGGGTGGCGCCTGTGGGAGGGAACTGTGCTGTGACACCAGGGACGAGCATGCATCGAGGTGCGGTGCAGAGCAACGAGCACTCACCAATGGGCACCGAAGAATCATACACCACCAGGCCAGTCTTGGACCACTTGCCCAGGGGGTCCAGGTTCACCCCACGATTGATCAGTGCCTGAAAGTAAGAACAGGACTTACAAACCAGGACGAGACGTGGACTCTGGTGCCAGCGGCAGGGCCACCTACTCCGAGTCCTGACTCAGACACCCCAGAACATGCAGCAGCAGGAGCCCCATCACCATTTTTTTGGGGGGGGGGGAGATTTTATGTATTTAAAAAGTAGAATTAGAGGGAGAGAAAAAAAAAATCCTCCATCAGTTAGGGCTGAACCAGACCAAGCCTGGAGCTAAGAGCTCCTTCCAAGTCTCCCACACAGGCACAGGGGCCCAAGCCATTAGTAGCACGGAGCAGGACTGGAAGTGGACGAGCTGGGACATGACACCACAGCGTCAGCCCTACAGCCTCCTCCACCGGGCCCTTTCTTCAGCTCCACTCCTGCCTGAGTGCTGACCACCAGTATCGCCACAGAGCAGCCCTGTGCTGTTCCTGGCAAGCACCCCGGTTTTACAAAACACTGGGCACCTCACCACCCTAAAACTGTTTCTATCCTCACTGTATCTGAAAGGCAGCCACACAAAGAGAAAGGCAGAGACCACCCATCTGCTTCACCCTGCAGGTGCCCACAGCAGT